GGGGGCCAGGGGTGGGGCAGCCCTGCCGTGCCAGGGTGGAGAAGAAAGGAAAGGAAAGATGCGGCCTCCTCGTGGAAGTCACAGGCAGTCCGGGGGCGGGGGGCCAGGCTGGCCAGCCAACCAGGAAGACCAGCCGCCGCCCGGGCAAGCCTGAGCCCCGCGGTAGACACGGGACAGGCCGTTGTCTGGGGCAGCGCCGTGGACTCGCTTCCCTGTGCTCCAGCTTTGCGGGCAGTGAGGCTAAAGTATCCACCGAGTCGCGGGGCGGACCAGGTGGCGCGAGACCTGCTCCCAGGTGCCTTTCAAAGGACAGCTGGCCGTGTGACTCAGTGCTGTGTGTGTGTGCGTGTGTGTGTGTGCGTGTGTGCATGTGTGTCTATCTGCCTGTGTGTGTTTGCATGCATGTGCGCGTGTGTGTGTCTGCTTCCCTGCGTGTGTGTGCACACGCGTGACACGCGTGTGTGTGTCTGCCTCCCTGCCTGTGTGCGCACGCACGTGTGTGTGTTTATCTCCCTGCCTGTGTGTGTGTGTCTGTCTCCCTGCCTGTGTGTGTGCACATGTGTGTGTGTCTATCTCCCTGCTTTTGTGTGTGTGTGTGTGTCTGCCTTCCTGCCTGTGTTTTTGCGCACACACGTGTTTGTGTGTCTGTCTCCCTGCCTGTATGTGTGTGTGTGTGTGTGTGTGTGTGTGTGTGTCTGCCTCCCTGCTGGGCAGGCAAGGGCCGTCATCCCCGCGTGTGGGGCCTGGTGTGGTGTCCCCGGGAATGGCTGTGTGCTCCTGTCCTCGTTCGCTGGTGTCAGCATCCCTGCAAAGGAGATCTGGTTTAGAGCCAAGAGTCCTGGGACCCCGTTGTCTCTCTCTGGGGGGGGAGGGGGGGCGGAGAGGAAGGGTCGGCACGGAGGCTGCGCCCTCACGGAGCTTCCTGGGCCTCTGAGCTGCACTGTGGGTCCAGGGCGGGGCTGAGCCTGTGTCCAAGAATTTTCTGACGTGTCCATGTGTCGCTCTGACAGCCCTGGAGGTTACTCCTGAGCCCCCCGCAGACCCTCCGCTTCAAATGGAGCTCGTACAGGGACACCCTCTTAGGCTGCTGTCCCCCCAGACCTCCACCAGAGAGTCCTTCAGAAGTGTGTGTGTGTGTGTGTGTGTGTGTGTGTGTGTATGTGTGTGTGTGTGTTGTGGTGGGGAGGGGTCAGTCTTAGACCAGGGTCATTTGGATGGGAATGAACAGAAGCCCGGACCCATTCATGGAGAGATTTGGTAGGATGGCCGCGGGGGGGAGGGGGGGAGGCTCTTGGGCCCACCAGACGGGAGAAGCGTCACCCTGGGCTATGGCCTCGTCCCTCTCTCCCGGGGACCTGTCTGGATTCCTCCTGCAGAAGTGCTCCCTCCCTGCTGCTCCGCCTCATGGCTTCTCTGTGGCGTTGGCTTGCCCTGAACCTGCAGGGGAAGCTGGCCGTGACCGTCCTGTCCACCCGCCCCCCCACCGCGACTCTGTGGCCCTGCGTGCCCTCTCCCCCCAGTCGAGAAGAGGAAGCGTGGATGGAGGCTGGGAGGCCAGGAGGCCGGAGGGCGTCCTGGTCCCTGGCCAGTGGCGGGTCGGCGGGGAGTGTCCGGCCTGGTGGGGAGGGCAGGGCTGCCGGGAACAGGGGCTTCCTCGCGCTGCTGGCCTGGCCTCCCCTCGCCTCGCCGGGCGGATTTGCATGCTTCAAAATGGATGGGAATTTTTGGAACAGCCCAGAATGACTCAACTTAAATAAGGAAAGAGACGCGCAACCTAGGGTCGAAACGAAGTGTAACTGTAAGACTAATGAGCGCGCGCGCTGGTGTGTCTCCCAAGATAGTATCTGGAAAGGAGTTGAAGAAGATAAGGGGGGGTGGGGGACACTTGTTTCTTAGCAGCAGGGCTGAAACCGGGACGCGGCGTCTCTGGGTGAGGGACTTTGCCAGGCGCCGTCGCCGAGCTCCTCCCGGCAGAGGGTGTTCACGCCGGAAGGCGCCGGGCCCGCTCCTAGATCCAGTGCTCACGCGTCCAGCGGAGAAGAGCCGGGACCTGGGCAGAGGGGTGGGGACACAGCCTTGACACAGCGGAGGTGGAAGGCCGGGCACGAGGCCCCAGCCGGGAGTCCAGCTGCACGCCGTGTAGGGACCATCCCCCCCAGAGATGCTTCATCTAGGAAGACAGTCCCAGGGGCTGGAGCAATAGCACAGCGGGTAGGGCACTTGCCTTGCACTCGGCTGACCCAGGTTCGATCCCCGGCATCCCACATTGTCCCCTAAGCACCGCCAGGAGTGATTCCTGAGTGCAGAGCCAGCAGGAATCTCTGAGCATCCGCTGTGTGTGACGTGGGGTGGGGGGGAAGGTTCGTGGGAGACACCCCCCCCCAGCCAAGAGCATCTCTCGTGCACCCACCCTGTGCATATATTCTAGAAGGGGGAAGCTGAGCCAAGTAACCAAGAGCTGAAAGCGTTGCCTTCCACCGCGCGGCCTGGTGAATGGATGGGGATGGAGGCCAGAAAGGAGCTGTTTCCTGGGGCTGGGGGGGGGGGGGGGCAGCGGGCAGGGCGCTTGCCCCGCATGCACAAGGCAGGCCCGGGGGTTGATCCCTGACCCACCCCTTTCCCCCCTCCCACCCCAAACCCACCAGGAGGGATCTGAGCACAGAGCCAGGAGTAAGCCCTGAGCACCGCTGGGTGTGGCCCCAAATCCCAGCAAAAGGAAAAGCCTTCTCTTGGGGGGCTAGGGGGGGGGCGACTGGAAGGGCGTGAGGGAGATTCCAAGGGAGGATACGGATGTGCATCCCTGGGGGGCGGGGCCAGGAAGATGTGTCTGTCCGTCTGTCCGTCTGTCACTTGCGGTTTCCCGTGGGTAGACACACCCCTCCCGTGGCCGCTGTATCCTGCTCTGTGTGAACAGGCCTGGGGTGGGCCGGAGCCGTAGGACACCCGGGGAGGTGCTGGCGGACCTGCCTTCAATCCCCGTCACCCCGTATGGTCCCTTGAGCCACCCCCCAACCCCCCAACCCTGCCAGGAGTGACCCCTGAACACCGCTAGGTGTGGTCCTGTCACTGTCACTATCTTCCCGTTGTTCGATTTTTGCTCGAGTGGGCCCAGTAACGTCTCCATCGTGACACTTAGTTGTTACTGTGTTTGGCATCTCGAATACATCACAGGGAGCTTGCCAGGCTTTGCTGTGCGGGCGAGATACTCTTCGGTAGCTTGCCGGGCTCTCCGAGAGGGGTGGAGGCATCGAACCCGGCTTGGCTGTGTCGGCCACGTGCAAGGCAAACACCCTACCCACTGGGCTATCCTAAAACAAAAAAACAAAACCCAGACAAGTGGGGCTTTCTGGAGGTCCTGCAAGCAGGCGGCGCTGCGTGCCGAGGGCGTCTATTGCCGGCGTGGGTGTGGCAGCCGCCCTGGCAGGAGGCATCCTGGTAGCTGCCCGCTCCCCCACGTGACCGGAGTGGGCACTGCCATAGGAATCGCATTAGTGGGACCCTCTTCTCCGAAGCTAGTCCAGGCACAACGTCACTCACTCACGAAGAATTCCGCGGACCTACCGGCACCCGGGGTGGGCCCAATGGCCAGGCCGACTGGGCAGCGTGGGCAGGGTGGGCAGCGTCAGCCCCGGGTTCTGGCTCCTTCCCGAGGTGCGGGCGGAGGAGGAGGTGGCGGCGTGATCAGCCCTGAGCTTCCGCCGCTCGCCCCCGTCCCTGGAGACTGGCCCTGCCCGCCCGTGCGCCAGCTGCCTGGCCACCCGCGGAGCCCGGGGCCTCTCGGAAGCCTCCTTCCTTCCTTCCTTCGTTGTTTTTTTTTTTTTTATTTGGTTGGTGGGGCGGGAGTCCACACCCAGGGAGGCCCAGGGGTCACTCCGTCTCTGCTCTCAGGGTGTCAGCTGTGGCGGAGCTTGGGGGACCATGTGGGATGCGGGGATTGAACCCCAGCAGGGCTGCCCGCAAGGCAAGTGCCTTCCCCGCTGTGCTACGGCTCCAGCCCCTGGGAGTCCCCTGTCGCCGGCTCGCCTGCTTGCTGGGAAGGCTACAGAGTTTGGGGTCTGTCGACTTGTGAGCGGGACCCCCCCCATAGTAGGTGCATGGGATGTGCACCCCCTTCCTGAGACTTTGACCCTTCACTCCCGGGGCTTGTGAGACCCGAGCCCTGGGTCAGGACTGAGGAGCGGGGGCCTTGCTCGCGGCCGGGTGAGGTGGGGGAGGGTTTTCCGGGGTCACTCCAGAGGAGGGTCTTCACGGAGGGAGGGGCCTCTGTGGGCCCCTCAGCAAGGCCCATGAGTCCTCCTGGGAAGCTGGAGCGGCTGCTGGAGACCTCGAAGCCCTCAAGCCCCGTGGGGTTGCCTAGGATACGGGTCACATGGGCCCATCTTCCGCACTCACTGAGTTCTTCCTTTTCCAGAGGTGTGGGGGAGGGTCTTGGGGAGGGTCTCCTCCCTCCTCCCCGGGGCCCTGTCCTTGGACAGGAGGGACTGAAATGGCATTTCCTGTCCTCTGGCATCCCACACAGAGGAGGTGCCACGCTGGGCCCTGGGGGTGGGGGTGGGGAGGGAGGCCGCCCCCCCCCCCCACACACACAGGGGTCTCAGCACGGGCGGCTCCCCACGCTCAGCCGCCTGGTGGCTGCGTCTGTCGGCCGCTCCGCTGGCCTCAGCAGCGGCTCCACTCGAGGCCCAGCCGGCAGGACCCGGCGGTAAACAAGCTCCTCCACCCCAGAGGCCTCTTGACCCTGAAATTGAAGCCTCACCCGGGCTGCTCTTGCCCCTGGCTGATGTGCTGTTTGTTGATAAATCACTTGTCCCTCTCCTGCTCCCGAGTTCATCTAAAGAGACAGAAAGCGCCCGGAGAGGTGGTGCTGTTGATCTTGAGAAAAATCCAAGCCGAGCAGTTCCGGATGGTGCTCTGGACGCTGCCGCCCGGCTTCTGACTCTGCAGAGGGGAGGCGCGGGGCCGAGCCCGACCCCTTCCTCTCTGTGACTCTGTCCCCAGGCGGCGGCATCCTGCTGTGTGTCCTGGCGCAGTCGGGTAGACGGGAGCCATGCCACCCCCGTCAGACATAGTCAAGGTGGCCATCGAATGGCCGGGCGCCAACGCACAGCTGCTGGAGATCGACCAGGTAAGCGGGAGCTGAGAAGCCAGTGCTCGGGAGGGGGGCTGGGGTCAGGGCTGGGGATGGGGAGGGGCCTGGGGTCAGGGCTGGGGTGGGGAGGGGGTCTGGGGTCAGGGCTGGGGTGGGGAGGGGGTCTGGGGTCAGGGCTGGGGTGGGGAGGGGGTCTGGGGTCAGGGTCAGGGCTGGGGGAGGGGTTTGGGATCAGGGCTGGGGATGGGGAGGGGCCTGGGGTCAGGGCTGGGGTGGGGAGGGGGTCTGGGGTCAGGGCTGGGGTGGGGAGGGGGTCTGGGGTCAGGGCTGGGGTGGGGAGGGGGTCTGGGGTCAGGGTCAGGGCTGGGGGAGGGGTTTGGGATCAGGGCTGGGGATGGGGAGGGGCCTGGGGTCAGGGCTGGGGTGGGGAGGGGGTCTGGGGTCAGGGCTGAGGTGGGGAGGGGGTCTGGGGTCAGGGTCAGGGCTGGGGGAGGGGTTTGGGGTCAGGGCTGGGGATGGGGAGGAGCCTGGGGTCAGGGCTGGGGTGGGGAGGGGGTCTGGGGTTAGGGCTAGGGCTGAGAGGGGGTCTGGGATCAGGGCTGGGGAGAGGAGGGGATCTGGGGTCAGGGCTGGGGATGGGGAGGGGCCTGGGGTCAGGGCTGGGGTGGGGCGGGGGTCTGGGGTCAGGGCTGGGGTGGGGAGGGGGTCTGGGGTCAGGGTCAGGGCTGGGGGAGGGGTTTGGGATCAGGGCTGGGGATGGGGAGGGGCCTGGGGTCAGGGCTGGGGTGGGGAGGGGGTCTGGGGTCAGGGCTGGGGTGGGGAGGGGGTCTGGGGTCAGGGCTGGGGTGGGGAGGGGGTCTGGGGTCAGGGTCAGGGCTGGGGGAGGGGTTTGGGATCAGGGCTGGGGATGGGGAGGGGCCTGGGGTCAGGGCTGGGGTGGGGAGGGGGTCTGGGGTCAGGGCTGGGGTGGGGAGGGGGTCTGGGGTCAGGGCTGGGGTGGGGAGGGGGTCTGGGGTCAGGGTCAGGGCTGGGGGAGGGGTTTGGGATCAGGGCTGGGGATGGGGAGGGGCCTGGGGTCAGGGCTGGGGTGGGGAGGGGGTCTGGGGTCAGGGCTGGGGTGGGGAGGGGGTCTGGGGTCAGGGCTGGGGTGGGGAGGGGGTCTGGGGTCAGGGTCAGGGCTGGGGGAGGGGTTTGGGATCAGGGCTGGGGATGGGGAGGGGCCTGGGGTCAGGGCTGGGGTGGGGAGGGGGTCTGGGGTCAGGGCTGGGGTGGGGAGGGGGTCTGGGGTCAGGGTCAGGGCTGGGGGAGGGGTTTGGGGTCAGGGCTGGGGATGGGGAGGAGCCTGGGGTCAGGGCTGGGGTGGGGAGGGGGTCTGGGGTTAGGGCTAGGGCTGAGAGGGGGTCTGGGATCAGGGCTGGGGAGAGGAGGGGATCTGGGGTCAGGGCTGGGGATGGGGAGGGGCCTGGGGTCAGGGCTGGGGTGGGGCGGGGGTCTGGGGTCAGGGCTGGGGTGGGGAGGGGGTCTGGGGTCAGGGTCAGGGCTGGGGGAGGGGTTTGGGATCAGGGCTGGGGATGGGGAGGGGCCTGGGGTCAGGGCTGGGGTGGGGAGGGGGTCTGGGGTCAGGGCTGGGGTGGGGAGGGGGTCTGGGGTCAGGGCTGGGGTGGGGAGGGGGTCTGGGGTCAGGGTCAGGGCTGGGGGAGGGGTTTGGGATCAGGGCTGGGGATGGGGAGGGGCCTGGGGTCAGGGCTGGGGTGGGGAGGGGGTCTGGGGTCAGGGCTGGGGTGGGGAGGGGGTCTGGGGTCAGGGCTGGGGTGGGGAGGGGGTCTGGGGTCAGGGTCAGGGCTGGGGGAGGGGTTTGGGGTCAGGGCTGGGGATGGGGAGGAGCCTGGGGTCAGGGCTGGGGTGGGGAGGGGGTCTGGGGTTAGGGCTAGGGCTGAGAGGGGGTCTGGGATCAGGGCTGGGGAGAGGAGGGGATCTGGGGTCAGGGCTGGGGATGGGGAGGGGCCTGGGGTCAGGGCTGGGGTGGGGCGGGGGTCTGGGGTCAGGGCTGGGGTGGGGAGGGGGTCTGGGGTTAGGGCTAAGGCTGAGAGGGGGTCTGGGATCAGGGCTGGGGAGAGGAGGGGATCTGGGGTCAGGGCTGGGGATGGGGAGGGGCCTGGAGTCAGGGCTGGGGTGGGGAGGGGGTCTGGGGTTAGGGCTAGGGCTGAGAGGGGGTCTGGGATCAGGGCTGGGGAGAGGAGGGGATCTGGGGTCAGGGCTGGGGATGGGGAGGGGCCTGGAGTCAGGGCTGGGGTGGGGGTGGGGTCTGGGGTCAGGGCTGGGGTGGGGAGGGGGCCTGGGGTCAGGGCTAGGGCTGAGAGGGGGTCTGGGATCAGGGCTGGGGAGAGGAGGGGATCTGGGGTCAGGGCTGGGGGTGGGACGCAGGGTCAGGACTCATGATGCCTCTGAGACCAGCCTCAGGGGAGAGGCCTGCGGGCCTCTGGGGCAGCCAGCCCGTAGGTCAGCTGGCCGGGCAGGGACTTCCTGTGGCGTGCTCGGGCTCAGCACTGCTGCAGGGCCTCTGTCTGTCTCCCTTGCAGAAACGGCCCCTGGCGTCCATCATCAAGGAGGTTTGTGACGGGTAAGTCGAGCTGCCCTTCCGAAGCCCTGGCTGGCCCCCGGACGGAAAGGGCCGAAGCCGCCCAGGCCTCTGGGGGGTCCGTGGTGCCCAGCTGGGAGCTGGCCCGGGGCCTTGGGTCAGGCTCTGCTTGTCCCGGTCCGGAAAGGCCAGCCTGAGCCCCGGGGCTGCGGCCTGTCACCTGCAGAAGGCAGACTTATTTTCTGCAGCGGGGAGCTTTGGGTCACCCCGGGCAGTGCTCGGCCAGGGGCTACTCTTGACTCTGGGTGTCCCTCCGGCCATGCTCAGGGGCCATGCAGTGCCGGGGGCCCAGCCAGGTCACAGGTGAGCCGTAGGCTGGGTGGCACTGAGTCCCCGCCCTTCTCTCTGGCCCCAGCCCAACGCTTCTTCGTTCATTGTTGTTTGGGCCCCGCACAGTGGATGCCCCTGGACAGCATGTTCCCCATCTGGACTGGGGGGTGACCACTCAGTGCAGGGGGTGGGGGTGGGGGGGCGCGTGGTGTGACTATTGGCCGCCTGCTTGCCAAGCTCGTGCGTTAGCCCTTCGGAACATCCCCCGGGCCCTGCGGCCTTGTGTGTTTTCGCCTCCTGTCCCTTCATCCCGGACCCCCCACCCCGAGCCCACAAGCAGCCCCAGTGACAACTACTTGCAGCCTCCGGCCAGCCCCGAGGCGCGGCCCGGCAGGCTACGTCCCCCTTCTCTTACCCAGGTGGTCGCTGCCCAACCCGGAGTATTACACCCTCCGCTACGCCGACGGCCCCCAGTTCTACATCACCGAGCAGGTGCGCAGACTTTCCTATCCCTAGCAGGGTCCTGATCTGTTTGTTACTTTTGGATCGTGGCAGCATTTGTCCGTGACCTCGCTCGTAACTTCTAGTTGAGTATCGTGGCCCTTTGGCCCGGCCCCTCCTGCGCCCGGCCGCCCTCCTTCCTGAGTGCGGTCCTTCCCCAAGCTGCTCCCCGGCTGTCTCCCTGAGTGCTCGGGGCTCCCGACGCTTTGTCAAGGAACTGAACGCCAGCGGGCCGGAGGGAGGAGCCCCAGTTCCAACGCTGGAAAAGCGTTCGCGGCTCTCGTCGGGCCAACCTGCTGTCGCATTTCTGTTTCCTTCTGTTTTTATTTGGGCGGGGGGCACACCTGGCGATGTAACTCCTGACTCTTTGCTCAGGGAACTCTCTTGGCGGGAGTTTGGGGGACCGTAGGGGGTGCTGGGGGTCAAACCGGGGTCTGCCACGTGCAAGGCAGCCGCCCTCCCTTCTGCACTATCGCACCAGCCCCAACTTTCTTTCTGTCTTTCTTTCCTTAATTTTTGCCTCGGTTCCTCTTGTCCCCTCTCTGCTCCCCAGACCCGCGGTGACATCAAGAATGGCACCATCCTCCAGCTGGCCGTCTCCCCGGTGAGTGCTCTGCGCCCCCCCAACCCTCCCACGCCGTCCCAGAAACTGGTGCTGGCATCGGGAAAGCCTAGCCCTGCTCTCAGAACCATGCCGGGAGTAAATCGGCTCCAGACCCCTGGGGGACAGAGGGCAAGTTGCCGGGGGAGCTGTTCACGGTTGCCCTCCGCAAACAGTGCTCAGGGGGACCCTGCGTGGCAGCCGTGGCCCTGGTTTGAAACCCAGGCACCCTGAGGTTCCCCTGTGCACCCCCAGGAGTGATTGCCAAGCAGAGAACCAGCAACAGCCCTGAGCAGCGCCGGTTTGGTCCAGAAGCCTCTTTTCCAAAGGGAGATGGCCCAATGGCCGATCTCTCCCGCCCTGGGAGCATGGAGACGTGGGCTGACAGGAAGGAGCCTTGCAGGAGCACTTCCTTCCCCTGGGACAGAGAAGCTTTGTCTGAGGGCTCTTTAGAAAGTAGCCCGTTGGGCCCTGGATAGCCCTCCAGTGTCCCCTGGACTGTCTGTCACCTGTTGGACCTGTCATCAGGACTTTGAGAGAAAGTTCAGAAAATACTGTCTCCTGGTGGTTCCCAGATCCAATTCTCCACCCAGACCTGGAACCTTCTTCAGCTGCTTTGACAGATGCTGTTTGGTTGCCTCCAGGGAGGAGGGCTCAGTATCTCTAAGGACAGCCTCCCGGGCAGGGGGGTGGGGGGGAGAGTAAAGGGGTAGGGGGCTTGCCTTGCTCAAGGCAAAGCAGGGTTTGATCCGGCAGCCCATATGGTTTCTCAAGTACCCCCAGGAGTAACCCCTGAGCATTGCAGGGTGGGGCCCCCAAACCAAAAAGCAGAACAACAACTCTGTATTTACTAAAAGTAAATTACGCCCACCCCCGGGGGGGCCAGATGTGCATTTACTAATGGGCCACGGCGCTCTGTCTCTCTCGCCGCCCATGTTCGGTGGTCTCGGGCCGCTTCTCCCACCCCGGAGAGGCCGATGGCGATGGGTGGACGAAGGAAGGAACGAGGGCCAGGCTGGCTGGTGTCAGTGGCAGTTTATTCCATTCCCATCTCCATTCTCCTCTGACTCTCCTCCTGCTGCTTCCTCCCCGTCCAGACCCCCCTCATCCTCCTCTTGGGTCCTGCGCCTTCATACCTCTCCTCCCTGCTTCAGCCTCCCCATTCTACTTCATTCTCCTTCTTGCCCATCGCCCCCCCAGACCACTCGTACAGTCTAGTTAAATCCCAAGACATGAAGGGTTGGGGCTTACACGTAGGAGTGGTCATGCAATCAACAGAGGTAAAGTCCTTCCCTCAGGGGAAGCTGCTTCTAGAACAGATTCTCATCCAGCAAGAGGACTCTCCCAAGACTGAAATTCCACTTATGGGTGTGGTTTCTCCTTTCCTTAGTCCAACAAACACACATTCACAATATTAGTCATTTTGTATGGGCACAGTAAGAGAGACATTAAGCTTATAGAATTGCTCTCCTGGGGCCATTTCGATCTCAGACGACAGGGCTCAGGCCAGATTAGTCTTTCCTATCCCTATCAGGGTCCTAATCTCATCGTTACTTTTTGGATCATGACAGCATTTGTCCATGACCAGGCTCTTAACTTACAGTTGAGTATTGTGGCAATTGGCCTGGCCCATTTTGATGCCAGGGTAGCTCACAGCTTGCCCTGGGTCCATATAGTCCCTCGTCAGGACCCTGCTTTTGGGGTGCTAAAAGCTAAGGGCAACTGAGGCTTAAGTTGAGGAAGCAGATGTCCTGGAGGGAATATTATTCAGAGCCAACTAACTCCCAAGTTCCAAAAGCGTATTATTAACTGTCTTCCTGTGTCTATACAAAAGGACAGTGCTTTAAAGTAAACTATGCAAAAGGACATAAGAGAAGGGAAAAAAAGCACAATTTCTTTCTTTTTTTTTCCCCTTATTTTCTCTGTCTCTTTTTTAAAAAATTTTATTGAATCACCGTGAGATAGTTACAAGCTTTCATGTTTGGGTTACAATCTCACAATGATCAAACACCCATCCCTCCACCGGTGCACATTCCCTACCACCAGTATCCCTGGTATACCCCTTTTTTCCCACCCACCCCCTGCCTCCATGGCAGACAATGTTCCCCATACTCTCTCTCTCTACTTTTGGGCATTATGATTTGCAATACAGACACTGAGAGGTTATCACGTTTGGTCCTTTATCTACTTTCAGCACACACCTCCCGTCCCAACCGATTCCTCCAGCCAGCATTTCCTTAGTGATCCCTTCTCTATTCCAACTACCTTCTCCCCTCCCCCCCACTCATGAGGCAGGTTTCCAACTATGGAGCAATCTTCCTGGCCCGTGTATCTATTGTCCTTAGGTGTGAGCCTCATGTCATGTTGTTTTATACTCCACAAATGAGTGCAGTCCTTCTATGTCTGTCCCTCTCTTTCTGACTCATTTCACTTACCATGACCCTCTCCATGTCTATCCATTTATAGGCAAATTTCATGACTTCATCTCTCCTAACAGCTGCATAGTATTCCACTGTGTCGATGTACCAAAGTTTGAAAAGCAATCTTTCATTCACAAATATAAAAATCATAGATTTTTGAGGAATCTGACCTTACAAATTAAGAGTCTGATGAAGGGGGAAAGGTAATAGACCGGTTGGGGAAGAGAGCACAGAGAGAAGAGTTTACCGATAAACTCAGAGGAATGGAAGTGCCTCAGGAGCACTGTGATAAACCTGAGCTCCCTTGTTAGTAGCAAGGGGAAACAGGACATGCCAACGTTATCCTAAAATGTTCAGAGCTACACGCCGATAAACACAGAGAAATGGCGGTGCTTCAAGAGCACTGTGACGGGTACCACCTGGTAAACCTAAACTCTTTGTGGCAGCGGGGAAAAGCACAAACCAGTGTCATCCTACAAACAGACGCCACGAGACAGCTGCTTCCACCATCGGGCGGCTTAGCTGCAGCGGGGGCGTTCCTGTCCCTCTCTGCTCCCGGTCGCTCTGAGACACCCACAGGGAGTGGACTGTCCCCGTTTCTCCCAGTGGGGGGAACTTTTTAAAATTATTTTTTAACCACACCCAGTGGTGCTCAGGGCTTTCTCCTGGCTCTGCACTTAGGGGATCACTCCTGGCAGGGGTTGGGGGGACCGCATGGGGTGCTGGGATCAAACCAGACCACGGTGCTATGGCTCCAGCCCTTGGTGGGAACTGCATTCTCCAAAGAGCAGAGTGGTTGGTGGTGCAGAATGGATTCGGAGAGCTGCTGGCGGGATTCTCCCTGCTGATATCCCGGTCCACCCTAACAGGCGTTTTCTATAGCAACTTGTGAGCAGCGTGAGAGCGTCGCTGCCCGCCGTGAGCGTGTCTCCCCCCTCCCCACCGCCGCCCCCCCCGCCCCCCGGGCAAGTGGCAGACCTTGAGCTCTTGGTCTCCCGCAGTCCCGGGCTGCCCGCCAGCTGATGGAGCGGACGCAGTCCTCCAGCATGGACACCCGGCTGGACGCCATGAAGGAGCTGGCCAAGCTCTCCGCCGACGTCACCTTCGCCACCGAGTTCATCAACATGGACGGCATCGTGGTGCTGACGCGGCTGGTGGAGAGCGGAACCAAGCTCCTGTCCCAGTGAGTGACCGCACCCCCCTTCACCCGCCCCCCCCCAGCTGTGCCCTTGGTTGGGCCAATGTCCTGGGGTCAGTGCCCTGGGGGTTGTTCGTTCAGCACTGTGCTTCCCCACCGGCCCCTCCTCAGCCTTGGGTTCTTTCACGCTAAGAGGCGGCACCCAGCACCTCTGTGCTGGGTGAGCATGAGGAAACCGGGGCCCGGGAAGCCAGGATGAGAGCTACAGGCTCTGCTGGTGAGTGGGATGCGTGTGGCCTGCTGTACCTGGGGCCACTGGCCTGTGCCCGCATGGATGTGTGCCCGGAACACTCCTCGGCCCCCACTCCCCAGCCTGCCCCCACTGCATACACACACGTACGTGTGTGTGTGTGTCCACGCCCCCCACCCCCCAGCACACCCCACCCCATCCCCCTTCTTCCTTCCCCCCCTCATCCGAGATCAGAACTCGGTGACACGCCACCAGTACCTTCAGGAGACGCCAGAGTTAAGATGCACTGGTGGGTGCTAGAGCGGTAGCACAGCGGGGAGGGCGTTTGCCTTGCATGCAGCAGACCCGGGTTCGATTCCCAGCATCCTCTAGGGGTCCCCCCGAGCACCGCCAGTAGTCATTCCTGAGTGCAGAGCTAACAGTAACCTCTGAGCATCGCCGGGTGTGACCCAAAAAGAAAAAAAGAAAAAAAAATAGATGCCTTGTGGGGCTTAGCCTCGTTGCCCCCCACAGGGAAGAAGCAGACCTTTCCATTGTCTGCTAAGCTCACACACAGGGAGTCGAGGGCGTGTAGCCCGTGGCTCCGCCCCTGTGGGATTCAGCTCAACCACGAATCAGCTCAACCACGATTCAGCTCAGCCACGAATCCCAGGTCACCGTCGGAAGCCTCGGATTCCCAACCGCACTGAAATCCCCAAGTCCTAGGCTGCCAGGAGCCAGGCCGGGCATCCCTGCCGACTCCCGCCAGGTCGGGGCCGGGCCACATTGAAGAACAGGCGAGGGTCGTGCCTCCCTGCCGTGGGGGCAGCGAGGGGTGTGGCTCAGCCCCATCTGAACGGCCGGTTCATGAGAGCACCGTGCCCACGTGGCAGGGACTCGGGTGTAGGGCACGGGACAATGGAGACACCGTGTCCACCCTTCCCGCTCCTCTCCCTCTGTCATCCTGCCTGTGACCCAGCCCGGCGAGCTGAGCACAGAGAGCTTTCACGGGTTTTACACCGGAAGGATCTCCAGTTCGGGAGAGGAAATGTGCACGGTGAAAAAATCGCTGTGCAGGAGCTGACTTCGGCGGGGCCAGAGTTGGTCCTTTCCCCCGCACGCCGTCACCCTCTGGCCTCAAGGTGACGGTGGCACAGAAGCTTCCTAAGGGAGCCCCCGCCCCTCGCGTGTCGGGGTGTGGCAGGGGGCTGGCTTGGGAGATGCAGCGGACAGCACCCCCGCAGTGAGGTGATGTGGAGAGGAGGCTCCACGTGGGGCCAGGGCAACGGGGGTGGGGGGACGGCGCCTGCCCCCGTGTCCCAGGGGTGCTCGCGCTGTCCTCCTCCATCCCGCCCTCGGGGCCGTGCCTGGGCCTCCCCCCACCCCCCAGAGCCCGTTTCTGAATCTTGGTTTATTCCGTGCGTGTCTCAGCTACAGCGAGATGCTGGCATTCACCCTGACCGCCTTCTTGGAGCTCATGGACCACGGCATCGTCTCCTGGGACATGGTCTCCATCACCTTCATCAAGCAGGTGCGGCTCCCGCCTACTGTCTTGCTCTCCTCTCGCGGGGGGACCCTGAGTGGGAGTCCTGCCCAGGGTGAGAACGGCCATCAGTGAGAGTTGGGGTCACACCAGCCAGGCCACCGGCCCCTCCCCGGGTCTTCCCAGCCCCCACTTCTCAGCTTTGCACGTGCAGACCTGCCTTCCGCTCACGGATTCCGTTGGGATTTTGCCGGGCGGAGCTCAAGAGGAGGCCCTGCTAGTTTTGCCCTCTTCTTTTTTCTTCTCCGAGTGCCAGTTTAGGAAACTGAACTCAGGGGCTGGAGCAGTAGTCCAGCGGGGAGGGCACTTGCCTGGCATGTGGTCGACCCGGGTTCGATGCCCAGCATCCCTTTGGGTCCCCCGAGCCCTGCCAGGAGTGATTCCTGAGTGCAGAGCCAGGAGTCAGCCCTGAGCATCGCTGGGTGTGGCCCAAAATACACACCCAAACCAAAACAAAAGAAAAGAAAGAAAAAAAAAACCCCACAGGCCTCACCCCTGCAAGCAGTGCTATGGGCTGCTAGCGTTACAGTGCCTCCTGACTTAGCGCTTTGCACTTGCTGATGTCGGAGGGGTGTGGGCAAGAGCCAGCTGAGCCCATGGCAAGGATGTCAGACTGGGGGGTTGGACTGGGAGAATTCAGGCCTTTTTGTCTCTGAGGTCCTCGCAGTGGCTGGGTGGCGGTTGGGGGAGGGGCCGTGGAGAGGACATTCACTCAGCTCCCTCCCGCTCCAGCCCTCCTGGAGGAAACCAGGATCCCGCCTTTTAACTCTGAGGGGACACAGTAGACTGTGTCGAGCGGTCAGAGGTGGCGGCGTCCATGCCGAGATGGTTCCTGGCACGTGGGCCGGGGCAGCCGTCAGCTGGGCGGAGAGGGCACCTGTCCGCCCTGGAGGCAGCGGCCCCGGAGGTGGGCGTCCATCCCACAGGGGGGCCCGGGGCACCCTGACGGGTTTTCATCCCTCCCGGCTGTAGATCGCGGGGTACGTGAGCCAGCCCATGGTGGACGTGTCCATCCTCCAGAGGTCGCTGGCCATCCTGGAGAGCATGGTCCTCAACAGCCAGAGTCTGTACCAGAAGGTCGCCGAGGAGATCACGGTGGGACAGCTCATCTCCCACCTCCAGGTGTGAGTAAGGCCCCGGGCCACCGCCGCAGCCCTGCTGCATTCTGGGGGCTGGCGCCCGCCGCACACTCCTGCCTCCCTGCCTCCCCCTTCTCTTCTAGTCTCCGACCACCTTCGGCCGTTGTTCAAACCTGATCTCGTCATGCTCCTGCTTAGACTCCCCTGTGCTTTTTTTGGAGGGGGGTGAGGGGCTTTTTGGGTCACACCCGGCGATGCACAGGGCTTACTCCTGACTCTAAACTCAGGAATTACTCCTGGCGGTGCCCGGGGACACTATGGGTTGCTGGGAATCGAACCCAGGTTGGCCGTGTGCAAGGCAAACATCCTACCTGCTGTGCTATCGCTCCAGCCCCTGCAGGGTTCACACTTACTCTGGGCCCATCCCTGAGCCCCAGATCAAGAGGCTTTGACAAGGTTTTTAGTGACCGCCCTGATTTCAGTCTCTGAAGAACGTGGCCGTTTGCATCCGTCACCGTCTCTTTCTCTTTAGGGGGACTCAGGGTTCACACCCCATGGTGCCCAGGGCTTATTCCTGGCTCTGCACCTAGGGCTCACTCCTGGCAGTACTCGACCCTGTTGGGTGCCGGGGCCTGAACTCAGGTCGGCCGTGTGCAAGGCAGACGCCCGACCTGCCCTATAATCTCCCCAACCCTGGTGCTTTCCTTAACCAGGTCGTGAGGGCGCAGCTGGCTGTCAGCCCAGGCCCAGCTCTGCGTCCTGTTTGGGAAGCAGTGCCCAGAGGGTGGAACTGCCCCTGGGGGCTTTGGAGCCTTGCCCCGGAGGATGCAATGGGAGGATGCAATGACACCGTCCGCATGTGTCACCTCGCCGCATGGGCCTCCTAACCCCTCTGCCTCTCTCTCTGTTGACGCAGCTCTAACCAGGAGATCCAGACCTACGCCATCGCACTGATCAACGCACTTTTCCTGAAGGCCCCAGAGGACAAGCGGCAGGTCTGTGGCCACCCTCCCGTGCGGCGTCGCCCGGCTTGTTCCGAAGGGAACCGCCCCAGCCGCCTGGGCCCTGCAGACTGTGACCTGGGCCTTTTCCCCAGCCCCCTCGGGGACTGCGTGGGACGGGCCCAGCTGGCAGAGAGAACTTCCCTGGTGGGGGGAGGGGCCAGCTGCTGTTTCCCACGCCCCTTGCCCCGGCAGCCAGCCACAGCCACTGGGGTTTCCCCTCCGCTGGCCACGCAGACCGACCTCAGGGCCACTCTGCTGAGTCCGCAGGGACTGGACTCACATGACCCCCGGGAACAGAAGTGGGAGAGAGCCCCGAGCGTGGCCCTCGGTGCAACAGCTCAGCCCCGGCTCCCGGTGCTTTTCCTCCTCCGTGCCCTTCGCCCTTCACTCCTCTGAACCCTTTCCCTCACCTGCGAGCCGCACCCTGGGTCTCTCTGCTACTCATCTGTAGCCCTGGGCATGTCCCGGGGACAGCGAAGGCTGACAAGCCAGGGAACAGCAGGGGGTCAGGGAACAGGGGGCGATGGCTGACCCCGGTCAGGGCCCTGAGACCGCAACTTCCGGCTGCTGGTGGGGCTGGTGCCTTTCTGGGACTCAGTTTCCATCTCCCCTGAGGACGAGGGCCAGGGGGCATGCCAGCACCCTGGGTCTCCCTGCTTGGAAGCCTGGAGGGGCGGAGGGGAAGAGGGAGCCTGCCTGCTCTCCTCCCGCCGCTGTTCTCTGGGCCCCAGGCACATTCCCGAGCTCTGGTCGGCCCCGTGGGAGGACCTGGGGCATCTGTGTGTGGTTCCATGTGTCCTCGTCTTTCTCGGATGCTTCGAGCTGTGAGGCTCCTCCCTCCTCCCTCCTCCCTCCCTGCTCTGAGTGTCGGCTGAAAGCTCATTCTTCCATCTGCTTCTCTCTGTGCTTTTTTGCTTCCTGCCGGCAGGACAAGCACCTTAACCCTCTAGACCTGCCTGTGACTGTAAGTAGCTCTGCCTCGTGCCAAGGGCCCCGGCCGCGTGCCGGAGGGGGGCGGCCAAGCAGGGCACGGCTCAGGACGCCCAGACGCGGGGCAGGCAGCCGGCCCTCAAATCTCCCTATTATGCCAACGCTTCAGGGGCGCACCAGGGGTGCAGGGGTGCCCGCCCACAGCCGGAGAGTGAGGCCAGTCTCACGCTTCTCACTTCCTGTCCATGGACGGTGGTTCTGCCAGGGAAGATCAGATTTGGAAATGGCCCATGACTTTCATGTGGGCAGGCCCTGGGCACCGGCGGCCTTCCGTCCCGTTGGCCCTAAGCATGGGCTGCTTCCCAGATCTGGGGAAGTTTGGAAAGGCTCCAGCCGTTGACCCAAAAGGGGTTCAGATGCTGGGTTCTGGGCAGTTCAGAGAGGTCAGCCTCATGAGGCAGTGACATAGGACGAGCATATCCCCCAAGGGAAGCTTCCAGGCTGAGGCCTCAGTGTGCACAGTAGGTAGGATGTTTGCCTTACACGCGGTTGACCCAGGTTCGATTCCCAGCATCCCATAGGGTCCCCCGAGCACCGCCAGGAGTGATTCCTAAGTGCAAAGACAGGAGTAACCCCTGGGCATCGCCGGGTGTGACCCAAAAGAGAAAAAAAAATCTAATTTCGGAAGGCACAGTACTTAAAGTTATTAGGTGACGCGGGGCCAGGAGACAAGACCCATGAGAGGCCATCAGTGCCCTGAAGGGCAGTAGCAGCCCCCCCCCCGCGTTGTTTGTGGGGGAACAGCTTCACCTTGCGGAGCTCCTTAGGGTGTTCTGACGTCACCACCCTGACATTCCCTCGGCGGTGATTAAACTATCACCATTGTCATCGCTTCACACACACAGAGAGACACAGTGTAGAGCAGATGTGTTTTTGAAGAGCCGCAGAACGGTTGAAGGGGACGGTTGGGGGGTCACCCTTTGTGCTTCGCATTCCCTCGCCAGGAGGCCCCTGGGGCGAGGGCTCTTATTTCCCCCAGAGTTCCCGGGAACTGGGGTGCCCTGTCAGGGTCAGGACCTCACACCCGGAAAAGAGCTCCAAGAGCACCCGGAGCGTGGCCAGTCACCCCATGCTCTCCCGACCAGAGGGTCAGCGCGGCTCTGTGCAGCTGCAGTGCTGGGCGGGGGGCCTACAGGGTGTGGGGGTCCGTGCTGCCCCCCCGTGGGGCCCGTGTCTGCTGCAGCCGCGCACAATCTGTCCATCCCCGGCGTCCATGTGCCTTGCCTGTCTCGTTCTCCACCATGTCCTTGCCCTGCCCGGAGCAGGGCCACCTCTTTGGGGCCGGTGAACACCCACAGACACCAAGAAAACTCGGGGGCTCTCTCGAGTCGGAAGCACCAGGGTGGCGGGGGTGGGGGGGGAGTTGTTCGGCCCGTTGATTCCCAGGGGAGCGGGGGCAGCTGGGCGGCGGGCAGCAGGCGCTGGCCTCACGCCAGCTTCTCTCTCTCCCAGGACATGGCCAACGCCTTCGCGCAGAAGCACCTGCGCTCCATCATCCTGAACGTAAGTTCCCGCCCCGGCCTGGGTTTGGCTCCCCTGAGGTCCCGCTCCTGAGCTGTGGGTGACTGCGGTCGCTCCCGTCCTTGTCACGATGGAAACGCATATTCGAAGGGGCCAGAGCAGTGGTGCAGGTCAGGCACTTGCCGTAAACGTGGCCGATGACCTGGGTTTGAGCCCCTGGCACCCTGGCACCCCGTGTGGTCCCCTGAGCACCGCCAGGTGCCGTTCCTGAGTGTAGAGCCAGGAGGAGGCCCTGAGCATCACCAAAAAAGAAAAATGAGATTTGTGTCAAGTGGGTGGTCACGTAGAGAGGACTTAACGAACACTCCAGAACACTACTCAGGCTAGGGAAGATTTTTTTTTTTTTATCTTAATCATGCTGGAGACCAACACCCACCCCCTTCCCCAGGCCTCGTACATTCCTGCTGAGCCTGGGCCCAGGAAACTTTTCCTCCTTGGTCAGCTGAATGTGGGCCTCTCATGTCCATCCCATTCTCACCAGCAACCACAGCCTCTAGCCCAGGAAGGGTTCAGGCCGCCCTGTCCCTCCACACCTGGCTTTATCAGGGGGTGGGAGTGGGGTGGGATGGGTGTATTTAACTGGGCCCACAAGAGGCCGTCAGTCCAGATGAATCGTGGGAGGGGTCTCTGAGCAGTGCCTCGTCCACTTGGGGCTTCGGGCCAGTGGGAAGGATGGGTGTCAGGGGCCCATGTGGGCTTGGAGGGCACCAAGCAGGAACAGGCCAGACTGGTGAGGGACAGGCGCCCCGTGAGGCATGTCTGCCCCAAGTGGACACCACACAGACCTGCAGGGACAGGACCTGGGAAGGTGTGGTGGGTCCGGGGGAGGCCGGAAAGTGGCCCCGAGGCCCAGCCCTGTGGGCCCACGGTCGGGATTTCCTCAAATGGCACCTGGAGGTCCTGCGTGTGTGGCGGGGAGGGATGGAGGCGTGGAGTGGGGCTTCAGCTCTCTCTCAGGGGCGGGCCCAGGGATCCAGGGGAGAGGGAGGGCCAGGGACAGGAAGGGGATGGTCGTGAGAAACGAGGTAAGGCTGGGAGCTGGGGCAGCTGGGAGCGGTACGAGGCACCGGGAGATGACCGTGTCCGGCCCGGTGCATCTGAGCGTGGACTTCTGAGTCTCCGGGCCTCCATCTGCTTCTCTGGAGCAAAGGGTGGACGGAGGACGGACGGACCGCCAGGCTGAAGAGCACCGGGCAGCCGGTGCAGTGCCAGGGTGCCCAGCGCACAGGATCCCGGTTCTGTGCATGGAGCCAGCCACCATGGCTCTTGGCAGGCAGAACCACCGAACCAGGTGCCAGGCTGCAGACACAGCCCCTTCTCGTTGGCCGTCACCCCCCAGCCTGCTGGCAGGAGGGGCCCGCGCCCACCTCCCTCCAGCAGCCGGCCGGCCAGTGACTGGACATCCCGGTTTCCCCATACATTCCCAAGAGTGACCTCCCCTTGTCCTGCACGCACGCAGGAGGCTGCCTCGTAGGGAGAGGTGACACTCGTGTGACACTCGCGGCCTCGGCTGTCAGGTGTCAAGGGGTCCATCCAGAGCTGACACCGCAGCTCTGCTGCCCCCTGAGGACAGTAAAGGTGCCGCTGTCACTCAGAGCCCTGACGTGAACATTCGGAGAGGATGGAAAACGCCCCCTCCCTGCTCTGTGGCCAGGGGCAGCCACTGGCCACACATGGCCACTGGCCCTCCCCCGCGGCCAGAGCGCCCGAGATCGTGCCTCGTTCCACTGATGGAAACGGCCTCGCATTGAGTCTGAGTCGGAGAGCAGGCAGGACATGGCAGACTGCGGGTGGGGCTAGACTTGGAGCCTTGTCCATTCGAGAGCGTGGAAGAGTCCAACACTGTCCAGAGGGCGCGGGCAGTGCTGGGAGCTGGCAGGATGCAGGCTGCTGGGGGAAGGACACGGGCAGCAGGGGTGGGCAGCGGAGGGACCCCCGGGAGGAGGGGCTGGACTGGGGGGGGAGGCACGTGGAGAAGGGAAGGAACACATCAGTGACGGGAGAGGCCGGGGGGTGGGGGGTGAGGACCCTTGGATGTGTGCCTCCCCCCAGCCCCTTCTGAGTGAGGGTCTCTTGGTAGCATGAGAGGAAACAGCCTTTCCTGAAGCCGCTCTGGGGGAGGGGGCGGGCAGCACTTGCTGCATCTGAGGGGGGCTAAGAGCCACGAGGCCGGGTAGGGAGGCAACCTCCGCCCATGGCCCGTGTCTGTAGTCCTCGGTTCTGACCCAGCTCACTTGCAGCTTCCGCCTTCCCTTCCACCGCTTGGCCTCGTGGAGCCCTGAGCAGTGGGGGTCCGGCGGGAGCCCCCGAGCCTGCAGCCAAGCGGCCTGTGCGCACCGCAGACCCCTGCCCAGAGCCCCCCGGGGCTCAGCGAGTGACGCCGCCTTGCTCCTCGCAGCACGTCATTCGCGGGAACCGCCCCATCAAAACCGAGATGGCCCATCAGCTGTACGTGCTCCAGGTCCTGACCTTTAACCTGCTGGAGGAAAGGATGATGACCAAGATGGACCCCAATGACCAGGCAGGTGCCGGGCGGTGCTGAGCCCTGCTGGGCCTCGTGGGTCCTCGTGGGTTCCCCCCACCCCCCACCACCTGTTTGGTGTGTCCAGTTTGGTGTCCCTGTGTCCAGTTTGGTGCCTCTCTGAGCCCACTTCCTGCCGGCCGTTTCCCGAGCCTGCAGCCTTCCTGCCCATGAGTGACGCCTGCTTGGAGCTGTCGGGCTCAACAGGGACTCGTGGGCCTGCACTCTTGCTCACTCACTGCCTCACCCACTGACTCTGTCTCCCTCCTTTTATTGGTGGGTGAGGGGTGTTTGGACCACACCTGGAGATGCCCAGGGTCACTCCTGGCTCTGCGCTCAGGGGCTACTCCCGGTGATTCCTAGGGTGCTGGAACTGGGGAACCTGGGTCGGCCACATGAGAGGTGAGTGCCCGCCCGCCGTCCTATGGCTCCGTCCCTGTCTCCCCGTCTCAGGCGCAGAGGGACATCATCTTTGAGCTGCGGCGGATTGCGTTTGACGCTGAGGCTGACCCCGGCAGCGGCCCCGGGAGTGGCACGGAGAAACGCAAAGCCATGTACACCAAGGACTACAAGATGCTGGGGTTCACCGTGAGTCCCCCCGGTGCAGGCAGTGGGCCCACACTGACAGATCGGGGACCCCACCCCATACCCCACCTCCTCAGGGCAGCCCAAGGCTGACCGATGGAAAAGCAGGAGGGGACCTGGCGGCTGTCAGAGTTAGGCGCCACCTTTGGCCCAGTGGCAGGATCTGTCAGTAGGACAGGAGGGTCCCTTGGCCGCCGCAGGACAGGATAAGGTGCTTGCCTGGCGTGGGACTGACCCCAGTTCAACCCCAGCACCCCACATGGTCCCTCGAGCCCTTTTGAGCACTGTAAGGCCTAGCCCAGGAGCACTGGGACCCAGAGTCCCCTGAGGGAGAAGCTGGAGTGGGTCTTTGATGGTGCGACAAGGTTTTTTGGGGGGCGTCAGCACCCATGTGAGCAGAGCCCCGTCGCAGGCTGTGCTCATGGAAGAATGGAGCCCGCCCCCCCCCCACCACGTGGCCCTGACACCTGCTGCCTACCTGGTCTCAGTCGGGTCCATCCTTCCTCCAGAACCACATCAACCCCGCCATGGACTTCACCCAGACGCCCCCTGGGATGCTGGCTCTGGACAACATGCTGTACCTGGCCAAGGTCCACCAGGACACCTACATCCGGGTAAAGGCAGAGCCCGGCCCTCCCCCCGCCCACGGCCCCGGCGCCCGCCTGGCTCCCGGCCCCCCTCACCGCCCCCTCCCCGGGCCCTGCAGATCGTCCTGGAGAACAGCAGCCGCGAAGACAAGCACGAGTGCCCATTCGGCCGCAGCGCCATCGAGCTCACCAAGATGCTGTGCGAGATCCTGCAGGTCGGGGAGCTCCGTAAGTCGCCGCCGCCGGCTGCAGCTGGGCCCCGAGCGGGCGTCCTTGGGGACCGGGCTCCCCACCCGCGTGGGAGGGCCGCTCCCGGGACCCCCGGCCCTGCCCCCGCACCCAGCGTGCCCCCTTCCTCCTGCAGCGAACGAGGGGCGGAACGACTACCACCCCATGTTCTTCACCCACGACCGGGCCTTCGAGGAGCTCTTCGGCATCTGCATCCAGCTGCTGAACAAGACCTGGAAGGAGATGCGGGCCACGGCCGAGGACTTCAACAAGGTGGGTGGGCGTGGCCTGTGCGTAGGCCCCGCCCCTCAGGCCTGGCCCCGCCCCGACCTCGGCCCCGCCCTTTGTCCTGGCCCCGCCCCCGGCCACAGCTTGGCTATGCCCCAGCCATGCCCCCAGCATCAGCCTGGCCTCGCCCTGCCCCGCCCCCAGCCTCGGCCGGGCCCCGCCCCTCTCCCAGCCTGGCCCCGCCCCAACGCTAGGCCCGCCTCCACTCGGCCCTGTCCCGGCCCCGCCCCCAGCATATGCTAGGCCCCACCCCGTGGTCCAGGCCCCAGCCTGGGTCCGGCCACGCCCCCCAGTCCAGGCCCTGCTCCCCCAGCCCCGCCCCTCTCCTGGCCCCATCCCCCATTTCAGCTTCACCCCAGCCCCCCAGCCACGCCACACCCTGGCCGCGCCCCTTAGCCACGCCCCTTGCCGGGACCTGCCTCCAGTGCCTCCTGCTGCTCACTGAGGCCTCTTCCCGCTACAGGTCATGCAGGTGGTCCGCGAGCAGATTACCCGGGCTCTGCCCTCCAAACCCAACTCCCTGGACCAGTTCAAGAGCAAGCTCCGGAGCCTGAGCTACTCGGAGATCCTGCGGCTGCGCCAGTCGGAGCGGATGAGCCAGGACGACTTCCAGTCGCCGCCCATCGTGTGAGTGCCCGGGTGGGGCCCACGCCCCGCCCCCCATCTGCTACTACACGCACACACACACACACAGTGCACACACACACACACACACACACCCGCAGACACACACACTCGGGCACTACCCCAGGAGGCCCGCAGCCCCGTGACCTGCACCCTCCCGTGTCCCGTGTCCTCTGCAGGGAACTGCGGGAGAAGATCCAGCCCGAGATCCTGGAGCTCATCAAGCAGCAGCGCCTGAACCGGCTGTGTGAGGGCAGCAGCTTCCGCAAGATCGGGAATCGCCGGCGGCAGGGTGAGGCCCGGGACCCCCGGCCCCGAGCCCTCCCCTCCCAGCGGCCTCCTCCTCACTCATTCACTGGCCTGGCCCATTTGTTCCAGAACGGTTCTGGTACTGCCGCCTGGCGCTGAACCACAAGGTCCTGCACTACGGGGACCTGGACGACCACCCGCAGGGGGAGGTGACATTTGAGTCGCTGCAGGAGAAAAGTAAGGGCCTTTCGGGCTCCCCTCCACACCTGGTAGTACCCAGGGATCATGCCTGGCTCTGTGCTCAGGGACCCTGGAGGGTGTCGGGGATCAGATAGACCCGGGTCAGTCGTGTGCAGGGCCAGAGCCTGGTCCGCTGTCCTTTCGTACTGACCCCTACAGGTTCCATCTGTGGCACTTTGAGGCTGGGCCTGGTATCAGGCTGTCTCCAGCTGTGTCTGGCCATGGCCTGATCATCTCCTCGGGAGCTAGTAGTTGGGGCTTGGCTCTTGTGGTCTGGCACCTGGAGACTAGAGGGTAGGGACAGACCCTCCCTCCCCGAGAGCAGTGGGCATGATTGTTGGGGGCTCCCCTGACCCCGCCCCGGGTGCCTGCCTCTGGGATCCTTCTGGAAAGTGGGCGTTGCTGTCGCCTGCCCCTCCTTAGGGCGCAGGATGGGCGGGAGCATGCCGGGCACTCTGCAGATCCCCGCCGGCTCTCTCTGCTTGCCAGGGGCGCTGCAGGTCGAGGGGCCCCTGAGTGGGCCCCAGCTTGCAGGCCGGGGTCACGCTCAGTAAGGAACAAGACAAGGGGACGTCACCAGCCCTCCCCAGCAGAGCTGAGGCGGGGTGAGGGGGGCGGGGGGTGCTGGGATCCAGGCAGTTCCTCCCCGGTCCAGCCTCCAGCACCCACTTGCAACATAGAAGCTCCCAGAAGCTAACCCCGCCTCGTCCCGTCCCTCAGTTCCCGTTGCAGACATCAAAGCCATCGTCACCGGGAAGGACTGCCCCCACATGAAAGAGAAGAGCGCCCTGAAGCAGAACAAGGTGAGGGGCCCTGAGACAGGGCAGGGTCAGAGGGGCAGGAACCCCGAATCCACACCCAAGCATCCTCTGGGACGCCCTCCCTCCCCCTCCCCCCCCTGCCCCGCTCACTCTCACCAGCCCCAGGACACTTGGCTCAGCATCCTGAACACTCCCAGAAATAAACATTCTCACAGAGTGTGAGACAAGCACCATCCTGCCCCTTCCCTTAGCACGCTGAGGAAGCCCCGTGTGTCAGGGCTGTTGAGAGCGTTGGTCCAGTGTCAGGCTCTCGCTCCAGCTGACGGCACCGAGGCCACACCTAAACGTGTATCTGGTATCTGACATTCTGTCAATGTGTCAATGTTTGGATTTCCACAGACTGTCCTAGAAGTGTCCTGACTTGCTACTTGCTGTGTGTATAGACTCGTACTCTGTGTGTGTGTGTGTGTGTGTGTGTGTGTGTGTGTGTGTGCGCGTACAAGTGTGCTCTGTCTCTGTCTCTGTCGCTCTCTCATTCAGAATACCAATTCTGCGCGCATGTGCGCGCACACACACACACACGCACACACACAGTGATTATTCTGGGACGTTTCTTCACTCCTGACCTTCCCTCTGGCCCTCCCAGCCTTCCCTCTGTCTCTGTGAACTTCGGTATTGAAGAAGCCAACTCCCAGAGTAGTTTCCTGCAGTCAGAGTAGTTTCCCGAGCCAGGCTTTGCCAGTTCCCTTTCCCTGGGTGTGGTGTAGTTTGTTCCTCGGTCCTAGGACTGCCGCTGGTTGAGAGATGCGGACGCCAAGCCCAGCCAAGTGGGCCCACCCCCCAACCCCCCTCTGCATGACCACCTGGGTGGGGTGGCGTGTGGTGAGAGCCGCCTGGCCTGTGGCTTCTGAGAGATGGTCCTGATCCGCCTGTCCTCTGCGTGGGCCAGCTGGACCCTCTGTTAAAATAGCCAGCCCCCCCAGGGAGGCCCCGCGCCATGACCCAGTCCGAGTGGCTTTATGTCCATTCTCCACACTGTCCTGAATTCAGGGATTTGAGCAAATCCGACTCACTTCCACCGCAGTTGTTGGCTGCCGCTCGGGTCATCCTCTCTTTGGCCAAAATGTGCTTTCGTTGCAGTGGCTCTTTAGGCTGTTGGTTTGTTTTTAGTTTGGGGGCCACACCCAGCGATGCTCAGGGCTTTACCCCCGACTCTGCACTCAGGAATTACTCGGGGGACCATAGTTGGGGATTGGATCCGGGTCGGCCTCGTGCATGGCCAACGCCCTTCCCATTGCACTTTCGCTCCGATTCTCTTCAGAGGAGGTGGGCGTCTTCCGGGTGGTATGGCCGTAGATATGGGCCCTCTTCAGGCGTCGGGACTCGGAGCCATGACCAGGCTGTCTCCCTAAGGCCACAGGCACTCATGGGCAGCGACACTCAGGCTCTTCCTGCTGAGAAGCGGCTTCTCCACCCTCATAAGCACCCTCACAAGCTCCTTGGGCAGGGAGCAGGTGGTGACGCCAGTCATCACTGAGCCTTGCCTCTGGCCACAGTCACACGTGTGTCCAGGGACCCCAGTGGCACCTGTCCCCATCCGAACACATGGTCCAGTGGCCCAGGCCTCGGTGTGCAGCACTAAGGTGGTCGGGCTGTGCCCTCACAGCGCCCTTGTTCTCCTCAGGAGGTGCTGGAGCTGGCGTTCTCCATCCTCTACGACCCCGACGAGACCTTGAACTTCATAGCACCTAATAAGTATGAGGTGAGTGGCAAGGGCGCCGGATGCCAGGGCAGGCGCCTTCCGGTGGATTTAAAGAGCGCGGCTCGTGGCTAGATGGACTTGCAAGCAGTTGAGGTCGGCAAGGTTTCTTTCCTGCCCCTCGCCTTCCTATGCGTCTTTATCCCTGCCTTTACGAGCCCTTTAATTATATTTTTTCCCGTTTTTTTGGTGTTTGGCTTTGGGGACACCCCTAGTGATGCCTGGGGCTCCTGGCTTGGTGCTCAGGGGTCACTCCTCGCAGTGCTCTGGGCACTGTAAGTCACAGTGCCAGAGATCCAGCCCATTGGGCTCTCTGGCCCTTTAATTGCATTTCTTAAATTGCAGTCCATGCTCCCTTACTACCTTAAAATGTAAATCCCAAAGCATGGACCCGAGAAGTAGCACAAGAGGTACTTGCCTGGTGCGCGGCTGCTTGGGGGCGACCCTGGTTTGATGCCCAGCACCACACAGGGTCCCCTGAGCACCATCAGGTATGGCCCCAAAACAAAACCAAAATACTGGGCGAGAGAGAGAATACAGTGGGCAAGGTGCTTGCTTGCGACCGGCCTGGGTTGGCACCACAAGAAGCAAACCCTGCATACAGAGCCTAGAGTAAGCACCAAGCTCTGCCAGGTATGCCCTCACAAGCGAAAGGGAACAGTTGGGGGACTGGAGCAATAGCACAGCAGGGAGGGCGTTTGCCTTGCACGCGGCTGACCCAGGTTCGATTCCCAGCATCCCGTATGGTTCCCCCGAGCACCACCAGGAGTAATTCCTGAGTGCAGAGCCAGGAGGAACCCCTGTACATCGCGGGGTATGACCCAAAAAGCAAAAAAAAAAAAAATTTAAAAAGGAACAGTTGATCTTTTGCAAAAATGAATGACACCATCCTGATTGATCTCTGCTCTTCTCCCAGATGCTTTTTTTTTTTTTGAAAGTGGGATCTCCTTGTATATTTTCACTTTCACTGTGATGGGGGGCTCTGGTAGTGCTTGGTGGACATGGTGGGGGGGTGTTGCTGGGGATCTAGCCCCCCAGATCACTTTGGTTGATATGGCACAGGGCCCATGAGGCCCTGAGTCCCCGACGAGACAGGGCCCTGGGCAAGGCCCCCTCGTCGTGACCCTGTGTACCCCGGCCCGCAGTACTGCATCTGGATCGATGGCATCAGTGCCCTGCTGGGGAAGGACATGTCCAGCGAGCTGACCAAGAGCGACCTGGACACGCTGCTGAGCATGGAGATGAAGCTGCGGCTGCTGGACCTGGAGAACGTGCAGATCCCCGAGGCGCCGCCGCCGGTGCCCAAGGAACCCAGCAGCTATGACTTCGTCTACCACTACAGCTGAGCCCGGGGTGGGGCGGGGGGGAGGGGGGCGGCCGCCGTGCCCGGCTGGGCCCAGGAGCGACCCTCGGTCTGGTGCCTTGTCTTCCGCTTGTACAGAACCTGTAGTGGCCACTGGGGAGGGGGCAGCCGGCCAGGGCCCACCCGGGGCATCCTCTCGACTCCACTCCCCCTCCCGGGCACCGCCTGAAGGGGGCCCAGGAGCCCCGCCAACACCCGAGCTGCCTCTGGGTGTCATCACAGCCCTCAGCCCATCTTGTCAGCCCACTGCTGGACCCGAACGGGGACCCCCAGGAGCCTCTGCCAGCGGGGGAGCATCTGTGCCCATCTCACATCCGGGCTCCCGTGCCGGGCTGCTGCCATGGCTACACACCCGTGGCCACCGCCCCGGCTCTTTCCTGCCCATGGGGCAGACGGGCTCACCCTCCTGCCTCTCCCGCCCTCCCCCAGCTGACCCAGACATGCAGGCCCTGCCGCTCACCTCCAGCTGGACAGCAGTGCCGTCACACAGGCCTCCCTGCCCCTCCCCACTCCACCCTTCATTTGTCTCTTCTTCCTTCCTGGGGCAGGATGGGCCCCAAGCCTGAGGATGCCGGCCCCCGGGTTTGCTGTCCTCAGGATGTCTGCCTTCCCTCGCCCGCCCTGGCACTGTGGTTCCGTGCCCATGGATTCAGGGGGCTGCCAAGGCCACAGTTGTGCCAGTGGCAGGTCACCCACCCACCCACCCACCCTCATCCCCCACCCCTCCCGCACAGCCGCTGCGGGCAGCCAGGAGCCGGGACATCTGGCCCGGTAGCTGGCGTGGTCGGTACTGCCCCGGAAGGGGGGACTGTTTTCTTTACTCTCGGCCATACGTCGACAGACATGTATATATATTTATATGAGACCTGCCCACCCAAGGAATGAATGTTGTGAGGAAAGCAACATTGGAGGCCAGTTGTATTGGTACCTGGGAAAGGGACCCTTCCGGGCGTGCCAAGGTGAGCGGCCAGGAGCCTGCCAGTAACCTGTTTTCAATAAAGACTCTTTGACTTACGCACTGAGTTGCGGGCGACCTTCATGCCCAGCTCTGGGTGCCGCACTTGCTTCTGCTGACACCAATCTCGTACATAGACCCCCTTCCTGCTCTTCACCTTCTGTTTCCCTCCCCCCACCCCCCCGATTGAGGTGCTCAGAATCATAACCCGGTCCGGGGCGCACACTGCTGGGGTCTGGTCTGTGCGGCCTACTGGGACAGCAGGGAGACCTCTGGCCGGACGCCCCGTCAGCAAGCCCCTGCCTTCTCCTGCTGGACATGGGGCCAAGGAACGGCCCGTGCACTGTGCCCACGGGAATGGCGCCCATCTGCCAGCTGTGGTGTGCACTGTCCCTTCCCCATCCCCAGCTTAGAGGTGGTGGAAGACACTGGCCCAGCCTCCTGGGTCACTTCTTTGTGTGTGTGTGTGTGTGTGTGTGTTGGGTCACACCCGGCGATGCACGGGGTTACTCCTGGCTCATATGCTCAGGAAATGACTCTTGGCGTCATATGGGATGTTGGGAATCAAACTCCAGTCGGCAAGGCAAATGCCCTATCTGCTGTGCTATCGCTCCAGACCCTCAGACACTTTCTAAAGCAGCAGGAGTGCAGAACCCCTGGGCTCGGGGCCGTGGCAGGGGGTGGGTGCCCACTGGTGGCGGTACCCAGTGAATGATGCCAGTGGGCCAGGGCAGGGACAATGCCCTGCATACAGTCTGGCCTTGCACATTCTGTTGGGCGTGGATAGTGCGGCCTTAGAGTAGGGGACACCGGCGGCAGCAGGAGGCGGCTGCAAAGCTCCCAGGCCAGGACCCTTCCCATCAGCGCCCGGAGTCCTCCTGTGGGAGGAGGAAGATCCCGGTCGCGGGCAGCGTTCCTGGGGCCTCCACCTGCCCTGGCCAGAGTCTGGGGAGGGTCCCGGAGGTGGGTGGGGGGCGGTGTGAGCCTCCCCTCCGGCCTCGTTCCCCGGGGAGGGGTCGGGCCCCTGCAGCGGGCGCAGCAAAGAGCTGCAGGTGCATCGTCCGCGACGCGGTCCTCCGGGTCCGGGGTGGTCACTCGGCCCCGCCCGGGCGCGCTGCAGGTCGCCCCGCTCGCCCAGCGCTGCAGAGACGCGCGTCCCGTCCCGCCCGTCAGTGCGGGCCAGTGCCCAGCTCGGCCGCGCCCCCCGCCCCCCCCGTCCCCCCCCCCCGTCCCCCTCGCGTCGCCCCGCCCCCGGCACTTCCGGCGGAAGTCCCGCCCCGCGCCGCCACTTCTGACAGCGCGTCCGGCCGGCGCCCGCCCGCGGCCAGGTGAGGGGGGCGCGCGCGCGGGTGGGCGGGCGGCGCTGGCCGGAGCGGGGTCGGGGGGTGGGTGGCCGGGGCGGGGGATGCTCGGGGCCGATCGGGCCCGGCAGCCGGACGCCGCGGAGGGGCCCGGGGCCCGCGCAGGGATGCCCGGGCCTGGGCAGGCGCACCTCGGGGTCGGGCGCCCAGCAGGTGCGGAGCGCAGGTGTGCAGAGCCGAGAGCGGGGGTGCAGGGGCGCCCCAAGGCGGCTGCTCCGGGGTTGCCTGGGTCCTGCAGACCCCACTCTCCTGTGTGTAACGCGTGATCGTCCCCCACCGACCCCCCGAACGCAGCTGTGCGGACCCCCCCCCCCCACCGTTGGACGGAGGAGGGGTCGGGACCGGAAGCGGGGACCCCCCAACCCCCCGCCCCGGGACAGCCCAGCTCGCCTTAGGCAGGGTGGTGAGTCCCACCGAGAGGTCCAGGGGTCCCGAACGAAGCATACGGGAGGTGCCCCCTGACCCACAGGAGGGGAAGAAGGGAGCAACAGCGAGAACATTCTCATCGTTGGTTTACAGGGGGTCTGGGGGGCAAGTGGCCAGGGTCGCTCTGCGCTTAACTTCCTTGCTGGTGACTCTGGAGCAGAATGGGGCAGGAGTCGGGAATTCTGTCTGAAGCGCCTAGAGTTCAGGTCATGACTGGGGTGCCACCAAGTAGGCATTGGGAGGTGCAGGTACAGCCCTGGGGGGGGGGGATTTGTGTGCAAGAGAGGGAGATGGTCTGGGGAGGGGGGGTGTGGCTCAAGGGGTCCAGCCTGGTGTATCTGAGACCCCCGCTTCCATCCCTGGCACTGCAAGCTGACTCCAGCTCCCCTGGCCCTGCTGGGTGTGACCCCACCCCACCCCAAGCACAGCCAGGCCAGCGGGGCCCACTGGCGGGGTCCCAGGGGCTGAATAGACGAGCTGTGTGCGTGTGGGTGCAGACCCCGGGGCGGGCCCCTGCTGGGAAGTGAAGGAACTCATGCAACCCTCAGTCCCTGGGGTTTACAGCCAGTGTTGGACCAAGTGTCTCAGAGAAACAGGACCTGAGCCAAGGGACTGGGGGAGGCTGGTGGCCAGATGTTATCCCGGAGGAGGAAGTGATCAGTTATGTAAGATCAGAGGCCTGCCCCCTGGGGCCAGAGTGTCTGTGTGTGTGGGAGGGGGGAGTGGGGAGGAGGAAGGGTGCCCTGCCCCAGACCTGGCAGTGCCAGGGGGCTCTGGGGACAGAAATTCTGCAGAGGCAGGAGGGGACCAGCCTTGCCCTGAGCCAGCATCAAGTGCCAGGGACTGCCCTCAGGAAACAGGTGTTTTCGTCCTTGTCCTCTTTGTGTCTGAGGAAACTGAGGTCCGAAGGTCAGCAGGAAGCAAGTGGAGGACCCCGGATGTTCCCTGAGGTCTTTTTGCACTCCTGGAGCATGCTTTTTGTTCTGTTTTATTGGGCCAAACTCCGCGGCGCTCAGGCCTTACTCCGGGCTCTGTGCTCGGGAGTCACTCCTGGCTGTGCTCGGCAAAACATATGTGATGCCAGGATCGAGCCCAGGCGGACCGGGTGCCAGGCAAGGGCCGTGCCTGGGCATTTTTATCTCTCCAAGCCCCTCCAAGCCCACACACCTGGTTTTGGTTTGGGGGCCATGCCCAGGGCTTACTCTTGGAAGGGACGCCAGGGATCGAACCCGCGTCGGCCACATGCAAGGCAAATGCCCTCCCCACTCTCCTCTCTCTTTCTCTCTCTCTCTCTCTCTCTCTCTCTCTCTGTCTCAGGACCCCCCAAGCCCACACTTTGAATCCCACCCTGCACCTCCCCTTCCCCAGGCCGGGCTGCCCCGCTGCCCCCAGGCAGGTAGATGAACTTGAACTTGCTCTCCTGGCAGGCCCTTCCCTGCGGGCGTCCTTTATCTTACTGACAGCCCGCGGCCCTGTCTGCTTCCTGTCTGTCTCTGCACACTGACTCCCTGCTGAGCAGGCTCGTGCCTCCTTCTGAGTGGCCTGGCAGAGAGTCAGCCCCGTTAGTGGCGCCGGCCCGCCGAGGTGCCCCGGGAGTCCCGTCGCTGCTTGCGGGAGGAGTACGGGGAGGGGGGCCTCCGCAGTGGCCCAGCAGGGACCAGCAGCCATGATGCCAGGACGTGATCCCCAGAGGGGGACCGTCGACCAGGACCAGTCGACGGCCTGGCCTGGAGGGTGTGGGGGCCCCAGGGTGAGCAAGAGCTGAGCACACTCTCAGGGCCGTGTGCCCTGGGTCCCGTCTGGCGGGAGCAGCCCCGGACCCCTCAGGGGGCTCGGGGTCGGGGCTTCAGGCGTTTGCATCGTTGGGGCGCCTCTCGGTAGAGGCCCTGGAGCTGCCACTCCAGTACCCAGGAGGGGCCCTTCGCCCCAAAGGCAGCTGGGTGAAGAGGAAAGAGTGGGGGATGTCACCACCAAGTGGGGGTTGCCCCTTGCTCTAGCAGGGTGGGCGGGACCCCACGTGCAGAGACGACAGTACGAGAAACTGAGGCATTCTGTCAGGGAGGGGAGGTGGTTTGGTTGTGACGGTGAATCGGAGCCTGTGACGGTCTTTGGAATACTTTTCTTTCTTTATGTGGGTGGGGGGTGGGCGCAAGGGGTCTCTGTGCGGGCACAAACCAGCAATGTTTGGGCCAGAGTAGATAGCACAGTGGGGAGGGCGCTTGCCTGGCCCCGTGGCAGAGCCGGGACTGATCCCCGGCATCCCCTAGGGTCCCCCGAGCACCAGCCAGGAGTGATTCCTGAGTGCAGAGCCAGGGGTAACGCCTGCGCGTCGCTGGGTGGGGCCCCCCAAACAAACAGAAAACCAGGAATGTGTCTTGAAGATGGAGCCGACCACATGTGTGTTGATGCAGTGAAAAGTCCTTCCTGAGCCCCACCACGGAAGCAGGAAAAGGGTGGAGGGGGGGTACCGGGTATTAGACACCCCACGAAGAATGCACCGGGGGTCCGAGGGCTGTGTCCACCGAGGCCGGCATGCAGGAGGTATTTCAAGGGACACCATGGCTCTGGGTTCCTGCCCAGTCTGAGACAGTTTTGTCAACGAGCCCCTTGCCTGCCTCCCTGGAATTGTGCCGGGACTCACCAGCCAGTGCTTAGCGCCTGACTCCTCCGGGCTCAGTGCTCGGGGGACCAGGCAGTTGTCAGGGGCAGAACCTGGGGCTCAGGCATGCACTGTGTCCCGCTAAGCTCTCCCGGGCCCTTCTGCTGAGTTGTTGCCTCAGCGGCTCTGCTAGTCCTGTGAAAGAGATTTGAAGACAAAGGGCCCCAACAGATGGCCACGTGCGGAGCTGAACTTTGACCCCAGGGCCCCAGGCGTGCCAGGCTTGGGTTCCGCTCCGGAGTCACATCCAGGGCCCTTGAGCAGGTAGGCAGGTGGCGGTCAGATAAATAAGATGGTGTCAGCACGGAAGTTCCCGTGTCTCGGTTCTGTGGCCACGTCACCGTCACCACGTCACCGTCACCAGGTCACCGTCACCAGCAGCTCCAAAACCCCACAGTCCCGGCAGGCTGCAGTTCTAGGTTTGCGCCCATGGTGACCCGCCCCCAGCCCCCAAATGACCCCAAACCCTTGTGTGCCATGGCTACTAGTGCGGCTCTTCCAAACTGGGGCCGCAGCCGTAGGTCAGCGGGCAGGGCGCTGGCCTTGCATGCGGCTGGCCGAGATTCAATCCCCGGCTTCCCCGTGTGGTCCCCAAGCCCACCAGGAGTGAGTGATCCCTGAGCACTGCCGGGTGTGTCCCACAAAACGCCACCAACAAAAAGCTGGGGATGTGTTGAGGTGTTGAACGCGCAGTTATCACTGTCTTACTAAGACAGACTCCGTGAACCATGAACCTGTGTCCACTCAGAGCCCGGAAGTGTGGGTGTCCCGCTCCATGTCGGCACACGGTGTCTTCTCAGCGTGACTGCGTGGGGGACACGGTTCTAGTGGGGTCAGGCCGAGTTTGTCTACCCCCAGTGGCTTGTTCCCGGCTCTGTGTTCAGGATCATTCGTGGTGGTGCTGGGGGCGAGGGGGAGGGAGCTGGCAGCTGCCCTCACCCCAGGCTGTCTCTCAGGCCTGTGGAGCAAGTGACTCTGTGACCTTGGGTGCCCTCCAGGTAGCCTCCAGCCAGCTTCCCCATTGGCCAAGGGGGAGGGGAATTGTGATAACCAGGTTCCAGAGTACAAAAGTCTGTCACCTCTATGCTGACAGGGAACCAGGGCTAGGAGGGCTTCTGGGAGGAGGTGGCCTCTCAGTGGCGTGACATGCTCTGCATCACCAGGGAAAACAGACAGACACACCCGGGCGGTCCAGGCCGCTGTTCCCGCGGCCTGGGAAAGGGAAGTCCCCCAGGTCGCGTGGCAGGGCCACTCCCTGCCCTCTGTCAAGCTCCTGCATGGCCTACTTCACCCCTGCACTCTCTTGCCCATGCCCAGCATGAATGGCCTGTGGACAAGGCAGCTGGGAGTGAGGCTAGGCGGACACGGTGGCCCCCTCCATGGAGGGGTCCCACAGCCCCACTGGGGACACCAACACCACCCAAATGCCCTGGGCCTTGCAGACAGCTAGCATCTCGAGCCCATCGGGTGGCGGCCCCCGAGGCAGAGGTCGGAAGGGTGTGCTGGGCTGGGCCCACAGGGCAGAGGGTGCCTGTCCCCTGAGGAGAGGCTGCACGGTGGTGGCTGTGACCAGGGGATGCAGGTGTCGTCACCTCACAGCTTTCCTGTACTGGACTCGTGGGTGATGCTACCCATGTGTGTGTGTGTGTTGATGCTGGTGGGGGGTCTAACTCGGTTGTGTGTGTGTATGTGTGTGTGTATGCGTGTGTTGATGCCAGGGGTCTAACTCGGGTGTGTGTGTGTGTGTGTGTGTGTGTTGATGCCAGGGGTCTAACTCGGGTGTGTGTGTGTATGTGTGTGTGTAAGCGTGTGTTGATGCCAGGGGTCTAACTCGGATGTGTGTGTGTGTGTTGATGCAAGGGGTCTAACTTGGTTGTGTGTGTGTATGTGTGTGTGTGTGTATGTGTGTGTTGATGCCGGGGGTCTAACTCGGGTGTGTGTGTATGTGGTATGATGCCAGGGGTCTAACTCGTGTGTATGCATGTGTTGATACCAGGGGTCTAAGTCGGGGGTGTGTGTGTGTGTGTGTGTGTGTTGATGCAAGGGGTCTAACTCGGTTGTGAGTGTGTGTGTGTGCATGTGTATGCGTGTGTTGATGCCGGGGGTCTAACTCGGGTGTGTGTGTGTGTGTTGATGCAAGGGGTCTAACTCGGTTGTGTGTGTATGTGTGGTGTGTGTACATGCGTGTGTTGATGCCGGGGGTCTAACTCAGGTGTGTGTGTGTGTTGATGCAGGGGGTCTAACTCAGGTGTGTGTGTGTGTGTGTGTTGATGCACGGGGTCTAACTCGGGGGTGTGTGTGTGTGTGTGTGTGTGTGTGTGTGTGTGTGTGTGTGCACGGTGTCAGAGATGAGCCTAGGGGGCCTCACGTATGCAAGGAGGTGAGCTTTCCCCGCTGAGCTCCGTTCCCCAGCCAGTGCTGACCTCCCGGAAGCGTCCCCGGGGTGATGCTCACGGAGGCCGAGGAGGGCGGGTGGTCACTGCCAACCGGAGCTCCTTCCCCGCGTCCGCCTGCCCCCAGCCCGGCCTCCCCAGCTGCCTTCTCCTTCCAGCCGCACGCCCGAGAGACGAGAGCTCGCTCACGTCCGGCGCCATGGACAGGACCCCCGCAGCTCTGAGGCGCTGGACCGCAGCAGCCGCGTGCCCTGGGACAGACCCCAGCCCGGCCTGCTGAGCCCGGATGGGGCCGCGCTGGGCCCTCGACCTGGCCCTGGTGTGGAAGGCGGGCCTGACGCTGGGGCTGGTCCTGCTGTACTACTGCTTCTCCATCGGCATCACCTTCTACAACAAATGGCTGACGAAGGTGCCGGGCGCCGGGCCGGGGCCAGGGGGGACGTCGGAGCCCCCGCAGGGGTGACGGCCAGGACGGCTGCCCACCACCAGCCGCGGGGGGACAAGGCCCGGGCTCGCCCACACTGGGCGGTCCCCTGGGGGGGGGTCAGGCGCAGCCCGGCGCCCCCTGCTGGAGCCCCCAAGCGGGTGGGGACCGGCCTGTGACCCCGTGGCATGCCACGCGCCTGAGTCCCACCTCCCCCCCGGACCCCCAGAGCTTCCACTTCCCGCTCTTCATGACCATGCTCCACCTGGCCGTCATCTTCCTCTTCTCCGCGCTGTCACGGGCGCTGGTTCAGTGCTCCAGCCACCGTGCTCGTGTGGTGCTCAGCTGGGCCGACTACCTCCGGAAGGTGGCCCCCACGGGTAGGCCCGGCCCCCACGGGTAGGGGAGGGGCGGGGAGAAGTGGGCATCAGGGTCCAGCACGGGCAGAAAGGGAGGCAGATGCCCCAGAGCCGGCGGGGTCCGGGGAGACCCCCCCCCCCACCGTGCAGACGGGCCGAGCACTGGTGCAGGAGCAGACCCTCCCCCCTCCATCTTCTTCTGGGGTGGGGGGTGGTTTGGAGTCAACCCGTCAGTTCCTGGGTAGGAAGGAAGACCTGAGACCCCAAGAAAGAGCAGTTGCCCAGAGTAAAGGGGGGTCCCTCCTGGGGCCCCGGGACTGTTAGTGGCCATGCCTGTCGCAGGGGCCCCATCGTGTGATGACCGGGTGGCCTGTCCCCCACAGCACTGGCCACAGCCCTTGATGTGGGACTGTCCAACTGGAGCTTCCTCTACATCACCGTCTCACTGTGAGTGTGCAGTGTCCCGCCCCGCACCCCGCACCCCTCCCTGTATCCCACACCCCACCCAGCACCCCACAGTCCGCCTGGCACCCCTTCTGAAATCCTGCACCCCACCCAGCACCCCCTACCCCTCCCGGCACCCCATGCCCCACCCGGCACCCTGCTCCCCACCTGCCACCACTTGCCCGTGGCCTCCCTCCCCGGGCGGCTCCCCGTGTCCCTGGCCGGGCGTCCCAACAGAAGGGCGCAGGGTGGCTCTTGTCAGGCGTCGTGGCCCACCCCACCCACCAGCCTGGCCCGCCCGGAGAGAGTCTCACGGGCGCCAGTGCCCACGAAGGCTTCTGTCCCGGGCACCCTCGCAGCCGCCCCGGGAACAGGGGCCTGCTTCTCCTGCACGGGTGCAAGGCCACTCCCTCCCACCACATCGCGGCCGCCTTCCCTCCCAGGTATACGATGACCAAGTCCTCGGCCGTCCTCTTCATCTTGATTTTCTCTCTGATCTTCAAGCTGGAGGAGCTGGTGAGGCCCAGACACGAGCAAGAAGGCCTGTCAACTCGGGGCAGCCCAGGCTCCTGGGATTCGGGGGTGGTGCAGGAGGGAGGGAGACCCAAGGAGAAGGGGTGCAGGAGGAGGGATCTGAGAGAAGGGGTGTGGGAGGGAGGGGAGACCCGAGGAGAAGGGGTGCGGGATGGGGGACCCGAGCAGGGTGGGAGGGAGGAGGGACCTGAGCAGGAGTGAGGGAGGAGGGACCCGAGAAGGGGTGAGGGAGGGGGGACCTGAGCAGGGGTGAGGGAGGAGGGACCCGAGAAGGGGTGCAGGAGGAGGGCCCAAGCAGGGTGGGAGGGAGGAGGGACCCAAGCAGGGTGGGAGGGAGGAGGGACCCAAGCAGGGTGGGAGGGAGGAGGGACCTGAGAAAGGGTGGAGGAGGAGGAACCAGAGAAGGGGTGCGGGAGGAGGGCCCGAGCAGGGTGGGAGGGAGGAGAGACCCTAGCAGGGTGGGAGGGAGGAGAGACCCGAGCAGGGTGGGAGGGAGGAGGGACCCGAGAAGGGGTGCAGGAGGAGGGACCCGAGCAGGGTGGGAGGGAGGAGGGACCTGAGAAGGGGTGCGGGAGGAGGGCCCGAGCAGGGTGGGAGGGAGGAGAGACCCGAGCAGGGTGGGAGGGAGGAGGGACCCGAGCAGGGTGGGAGGGAGGAGGGACCCGAGAAGGGGTGCGGAAGGAGGGCCCGAGCAGGGTGGGAGGGAGGAAAGACCCGAGCAGGGTGGGAGGGAGGAGAGACCCTAGCAGGGTGGGAGGGACGAGGGACCCGAGCAGGGTGGGAGGGAGGAGGGACCTGAGAAAGGGTGGAGGAGGAGGAACCCGAGAAGGGGTGCGGGAGGAGGGCCCGAGCAGGGTGGGAGGGAGGAGACACCCAAGCAGGGTGGGAGGGAGGAGGGACCCGAGCAGGGGTGCAGGAGGAGGGACCCGAGAAGGGGTGAGGGAGGAGGGGCCCGAGCAGGGAGGGCGGGCCGTTGTAGACGCCCTGTGCCCCGCAGCGCGCGGCGCTGGTCCTCGTGGTGCTGCTCATCGCCGGGGGCCTCTTCATGTTCACCTACAAGTCCACGCAGTTCAACCTCGAGGGCTTCGCCCTGGTGCTGGGCGCCTCGTTCATCGGCGGCATCCGCTGGACGCTCACGCAGATCCTCCTGCAGAAGGCCGAGCTCGGTGAGGGGCGCCCGGGGGTGGGGGCGGGGGTGGCGGGCAGCCGCAGGGCCGCCCCCCCCCCCCCGCCCCAGCCTGACCCCTGCCCCGCCCCCCTGCAGGCCTGCACAACCCCATCGACACCATGTTCCACCTGCAGCCGCTCATGTTCCTGGGGCTCTTCCCACTCTTCGCCGTGTTCGAAGGTGTGTCCGTCATCCGGGTGTTCCCCAGGGACCCCCGGCCCTGAGTCTGCCACCCGTCCCCCCCCCCCCCCCATGGTGGGCGCCTTTATTCCCTTCCCCGGGTGCGAGGTCAGTCACCTCCCTCCCATGGCGTCGCTGTCCCCCTCCCTCCCCTCGGACCAGTCACCCACCTTCAGAGCCATGGCGGGTCTCACGCCATCCTCCACTCCCCGTGGCCATCAGCACTGAGGAGCCCCCACCTGCAGGTGGAGAAACTGAGGCCTGAAGCTTCAGTGCAGGGAGCCTTGCCCGGGGCCCTGGGGGGCCCAGGATTCAGGGGTCTGGGGAGGGGAGGGGGCAGCCTCCGTTGTGGGCTGGAAGTGGCCTTCCTGGCCTGGAGGGGAAGTGGGGAGGCGGGGTCCCTGCTCCTGCCCCTCCGTACCCCCCCACCGCCCCCCCACACCCTGCAGTGAAGGTCTCCAGCCCCGCTTTATTCCTTTGGAGCACCTCCCCGCTTCCTCCTTCCTGCCCCCCTCCCCGCCAGACGCCCGCTCCCGCCCTGCCCAGGCGTGCCCGCTGCGCGCCCCAAGCCCCTGGTCGTGGGCACTTAGCAGAGCTGCATGGATTTACCTCCTTTAATCTTCCCCGCTAAATTAATCCCCCAAGCACCTTCATTACTGACGATGCTCTTCCCCGAGTTCCCCGCAGTCTCCGCTCCCGAGCAGCCGAGCCCCACGCACGCCAGGCGCGTGGCCAGGACGCGGGCGGCTCTGCTGGACGGTGGCCTCTGCCCCCGCCCCCCGCCCCCAGGGCTGGCCTGCAGGGAGCCACCCACAGTCCTTCTCCAAAGGGACGGGAGAGGAGAGAGAGAGCAGGGGAGAGCGGGGGAGAGAATGTTGGCGCCGGGGGCGGGCCGTGCGCTTGTCTGGTACACGGCCAAGGACGCCTGTGAGCGAGTGTGTGTGTGCGTGTCTGGGTCTGTGTGTGAGTGAATGTGTGTGTCTGTGAGTGTGTGTCAGTGTGTGCGTGTCTGTGAGTGTGTGTGTGTCTGAGTGTGTATACGTGTCTCTGTGTCTGTGTGTGTGCTTGTCTGTGTCTGTGTGAATGAGTTTCTGTGTCTGGGCGCATGTCTGTGTGTGAGTATGTGTGTGCATGTCTGTGTGTCTGCGTGTCTGTGTGAGCGAGTGTGTGTGTGAGTGTCTGTGTGCGTGTCAGGGTCTGTGTGTGAGTGAATGTGTGTGTCTGTGAGTGAGTGTGTGTGTGTCTGAGTGTGTATACGTGTCTCTGTGTCTGTGTGTGTGCTTGTCTGTGTCTGTGTGAGTGAGTGTCTGTGTCTGGGCGCATGTCTGTGTGTGAGTATGTGTGTGCATGTCTGTGTGTCTGCGTGTCTGTGTGAGCGAGTGTGTGTGTGAGTGTCTGTGTGCGTGTCAGGGTCTGTGTGTGAGTGAATGTGTGTGTCTGTGAGTGTGTGTACGTGTGTGTCTGTGTGTGCATGTCTGTGAGTGAGTGTGTGTGTGTCTTAGTGTGTATACGTGTCTGTGTCTGTGTTTGCTTGTCTGTGTGTGTCTGCCTGGGCGCATGTCTGTGTGTGAGTGCATGTCTGTGTGTCTGCGTGTCTGTGTGAGCGAGTGTGTGTGTGAGTGTCTGTGTGTGAGTGAATGTGTGTGTCTGTGAGTGAGTGTGTGTGTGTCTGAGTGTGTATACGTGTCTGTGTCTGTTTGCTTGTCTGTGTGTGTCTGTCTGGGTGCATGTCTGTGTGTGAGTGCATGTCTGTGTGTCTGCGTGTCTGTGAGCGAGTGTGTGTGTCTGCGTGTCTGTGAGCGAGTGTGTGTGTCTGTATGTCTGTGAGTGAGGGTGTGTGTCTGTGTGTGTCTGTGAGTGAGTGTGTGTGTCTGTGTGTCTGTCTGTTTGTGAGTCAGAGTGTGTGTGAGAGTGTGTGTGTGCGTTTTGAAACTGCCCTTGTCCAACAGTGTCATTCAGTCTCGAGGGCAGAGCGTCCAGCGGGGCTAATCAGTCTGGCCCAAGGCCCACAGCCAAGAATAGCAGCACCTGCTCTCGAGTGCGGTGCCAGGGTCACTGACCTGTGGAGAGGGGGACGGGGTGCCCTGGGGGCCTTCTCGCTGGACAGGCTGCCCCCTTGTTGGGCCGCGGTTAGCACAGCTGCAAAGACAGACACACACATGCACGCGCACGCACACCGACCCGTCCCCCTCACTTCTTGGGCTGGGTCGCCGGGGCTCCCTGGAGGCCCCCGTGCCTGCACCCACCGACTCCCCCAGACTCGGGCAGCCCCCTGCCCGCCCTGCCCATGCCCTTCGCCCGCAGGCCTGCACCTGTCCACGTCGGAGAAGATCTTCCGCTCGCAGGACCTGACGCTGCTGCTGCGTGTGCTGGGCAGCCTCTTCCTGGGCGGCATCCTGGCCTTCGGCCTGGGCTTCTCCGAGTTCCTGCTGGTCTCCCGGACCTCCAGCCTCACCCTCTCCATCGCCGGCATTTTCAAGGTGCCGACACGGGCCCGGCAGAGGAGAGTCGCGCCATCCGGGAGGGCCGCCCCCGCCCCCTCCCCCGCACCCCTGAGGGACCCCACGGCCCCCAGGCGGGCAGAGCGAAGCCCCCTGTGGAGGCGCCGTGGCCAGCCGGCCGGGACTGACCCCGCTCTGCCCGGCAGTAGCCGCCGTGGGCCGTGAGCACCGCTGGGAGGAGCTGCGGCCGGCTGGGCCCTGCAGGGCTGGGGACCCCCGAGCGCAGCCACTCACGCGCGCCCCCCTGCCCCTCTGCCCGCAGGAGGTCTGCACGCTGCTGCTGGCGGCACACCTGCTGGGCGACCAGATCAGCCTGCTCAACTGGCTGGGCTTCGCTCTCTGCCTCTCGGGCATCTCCCTGCACGTGGCCCTCAAGGCCATACATTCCAGAGGTAAGGCGCACCCCACTGCCCGCCACGGGCACACACGCCCAGATACACACAGTCTCACAGACACACTCACACAGACACCCACACACAAGATGCATGCACAGACACACACAGTCTTCGAGATACACGCACCCTCCTGGCTACATAGTCTCTCACAGATACACTCGCACACAGACACACACACTCCCAGATGCACACAGTCTCATAGATACACTCACACACTCACAGATGCATACACAGACACACACAGTCTCTTGATACACTCACAGACAGACACACACAGATACACAGACACTCACAGTTTCACAGATACACTCACACAGACACCCACACACAAGATGCACGCACAGACACACACAGTCTTCGAGATACACGCACCCTCCTGGCTACATAGTCTCTCACAGATACACTCACAGACAGACACACACACTCTCAGATGCACACAGTCTCATAGATACACTCACACACTCACAGATGCACACACAGACACACACAGTCTCTTGATACACTCACAGACAGACACACACAGATACACAGACACTCACAGTTTCACAGATACACTCACACAGACACTCACATACACAGATACACACACACACAGTCTCATAGATACACTCACACAGACACACACAAGATATATGCACAGACACACACAGTCTTATAGATACACACATAGCTACATAGTCTCTCATAGATACACCCACACACACAGACACACATTCTCTCAGAGATACACTCACACGCAGATACACACACACAGTTTCATAGATATATTCAGATACACATTTTTTTTTAATGTTGGGGCACTGCTAGTCATTCAGCCACTGATTCAGCCGACAGAAGTGGGCATGAACTCCACATTCCCTTTTAATTGCATATCTGTGAGTGGAGAGACCACTACAAATTGGGTTCGTAATTGGGCAGCACCCGTCCCTCCGCCAGCGCCCCCGTTCCCCTCCCGCCAGCCCCTGACCCCACCCCCACCCCCAGCCTCCTCTGTGGCAGGCACTTGCCTTCTTGCTCTCTCGACGCACACACACGCACTCTTGCAGACCCACTCAGGACACTCAGACACACATTCTTGCAGTGACACACCCTCAGACACACACAATCCTGCAGTCACACACACACACACAATCGCAGAGACATGTTCGGACACACTCGCAGACATACACCCGCCGCGGGCAGGCTCTCCCCTACCCTGTTCCGCCCTCAAGGCCGCGGCAGCCCCTCCAGAACCCCTCCCCCACCCTGTCCCCGCAGGTGAGGGTCCCCCGAAGGCCCTGAAGGCGTTGGGCTCCAGCCCCGACCTAGAGCTTCTGCTGCGCAGTAACGCGCAGGAGGAGGACGACGCCGGCGCGGAGGACGAGAAGGAGTACTTCCTGGCGCAGGGCCCGCAGTGACAGCCCAGCCCGAGCTCAGGGACGGGGTCCAGCAGCCGCTCCGGCGGGCGTGCACGGCCCATCCGGGGGCCGAGTCTGGACTGTTGAGGGGCTGGGCCTGCGGGGGCGTTTTCTCCCGGAGAGCGGATCTATTTATAGTTTGGAATAAAGGCTTTCTGGTCCACTGGCGCCGGTGCCGACTGGGGGGTGGGCACGGGCCTGCGCCTCCTCCCCACCCCTCCCTCCATCCCCCCCACCTCCAGCTCAGCCCCGGGGCCGCCCACCCACCGGAGACCCCGTTTCTGCAGGCAGGACAGCCTGTTGCTTCGGCCGGGCCCCGCCTGGACTCCAACACCGTGTGAACCCAAACCGGTCACCTCGCCGGGCGACAGAAGTCTTGTCTGTTTAAGTCTGAGAGCCTCAGGGAGCAGCCAAGGGGCTCACGGTCACGTGTGTGTTCTGGGGGGTGGAGGGGCCTGGGGCCTCCTGGGGGGGCAGGGAGGACACGGCCCCCTCTCAGGAGATGGGACGCGACGCGGTAAGGTGCTGGCCTTGCATCCTGCCAGCCCCGGTCTGAGCCCAGCACCTCCGGGGGTCACTCCTGGTAAAGCAGGGAGGACACTGGCTCCGGGTTTGATCCCCCTCGCCCCCGCCCCACCCCACCTGGCCGTGCTCAGGGCTGATTCCTGGCGGGGGGCTCAGGAGACCCTATGGGGTGCCAGGAATCGAACCGGGATCAGCAGGTGTCCTCCTCGCTCTGCTATCCGGCCAGGCTTTCCTTGTTGAGAAAACAAAAAAGGGTTGAAGGGCAAGATTGACTCCAGAAGGGCTGGGGCTGACCACCCAACCCCCCCTCACCCCCACCCCCAGGCCTGGACCCGGGACCGAGGCTCTTTCAGCCCTGGACAGCAGGTGGCGCCATTGCACCAGGCTCCAGCCCCCCCCTCGGCCACTGCCCCAGCCAGCGGGTGGACATCTGCCGGGTGGCAGGGACCAGGAGCTTCGAAGGCGATGTCCCTACCAGGGACAGAGGTCCATCCCTTAGAAGCGGACCCACGAACTTCCCGCCATGGGCCTGGCCCCTTCACTCAGCCCCTAGGGCCTCTGGGCTCCTCAGGGCCTGGCAGGAGCCCGGGCAGGGGGAGACGCCCCGAGAACCTCCCCAAGTCCAGTCTGGGGCCTGAGGCAGGCCCAGGAGGGCGCTGAGGCCCTGCCCCGCATCCCGGGAGGAGGGAAGGTGAAATCTGCCTGGGGGGCTCATCCCGTGGGGAACACAGGGGTGCCCCCCCCCGCCCCGACTCCCCATCTGTCGCCCCTGGCCTGCAGGACGCATGGGTGGGGGAGGGCGGGCAGGGCCCGGCCGCCGCTCTCTGCCCTCCCGGGCCCACGGGGCGGGAAGCACTGCTGTCTGGTGCCGTGATGGCCCTACGTGTTGTGTCGTGTCGTGTCGGGTCAGTGACATCCCCTCAATTACCCGCCAGGCCTCAAGGAGCTGTCCCGCCCCCCCAGCCCACCCCGCCCGCCCCTTCTGGCCTCTGGGGCTGGATGGCGCCCGCCCTCTGCGGAGCCCCGAGCACCCATGCTGTCTGCAGCCACTGCAGCGCGGGCTGCACCGTTGCCATGGCAACCCGGTGGAGGGAAGCCGCGGATGTGAAGCCACGGATGTGACTCGGATCTCCAGGCTGTGGTGTCTGTCCCCAAGCAGCCTCCAGTGGGGGGCGGGGGGTCGGGGACTGCAGGTGCGCGAGCGGCGGCCGCTCCCCGGAAAGTCGGTGCCCCCCCACCACCACATTGCGGGATGCCTGCAGGTGGGGTGCGTGGGGTGGGGGGGACCCAGACTGCAGAGCAGCCTCTGGGGCTCGCCTCTGCCTCCCCGGAGAAACTCCCCGAAGACCCCCGTGGCCGGAGCGTGAGCTCCGTGGTCCCGGGAGAGGGAGGCCGATTCACGGTGCCCCCCGTGGCTCTCCGTGATGCCAGGAGCTGGGTCTGCAAAGGGCACTTCTGAGAACAGGGTCCCCCAGGTGCAAATCCCAGACCACCCATTTGGCTCAGCAGCATTCGGGGGTCACGGGCAGAATTGAGCACCGGTCCTGGGGGCCAGACATCGTCCTCGGGGACTTGGTGCATGGGGCCACCAGCTACTCAGCTGGGCAGGGCCTGGGGTGGACACGGCATCTCACAGCATCCTCGTGGCCCGTGGTGTGGCTCATGGAGCCCCCAGCACCTCGGTGGGCACTGTGGTAGGCACCGGGCGCCAAGCTGAGCTGCGTGAGGGGACGCGGGCTCTACCGGACAGACGTTCCCAGAGCTGGCCCCGTGCCTGCTGTGTGACCTGGGGCGCAACACCCACCCGCTGATCTCGCCCATCAAGCATCAGCGATGGTGCCCCTCTCCTGCGAGCACTGTGCAGGCTGGATGGCGGTGCCCGCGGGAGGCTTGGCACAGTGCTGGGTGCTGGACACTCCTGGCAGGCCAGGAGGCCACAGCTGATAGGCGGGGGGTGGGACCCACAGCGGGTGCTGTCCTTCCCGGCCCCCCTCCCACCACATCACGGCGGCTGGCACAGCAGATATGATACCCCTGAAGGCTGTTTGTTCTGGAAGGAATTTCCAGCCGTGGAGAAGAAAGGGAATTTTACAGCTGCAGGAGGCCAGGCCGGCTCTTTGGGCCCCACAGGAAGTGGCTGTTCACACCCCAGCCCATCTCTCTCAGCCCTGACCTGTCCCCACGCAGCCTGGAGGCCAGCCCAGCCCTAGCCCTGCTCACAACTAGCCTGACTTCTGCTCCCGGCTCTTCTGCAGCAGCCAGAAGCCCCCCAATCCCCAGCCCCCACCCAGTCCCACAGGCCTCGCACTGCAGGCTCCAGCCCTTCCCCTGGGTGGGATTCGAATTTGCCTGCTCGGGAGTGGAGGGGCAGGACGGACCCCCGGCAGCCAGTGCAGAGCCTGGACCAGGTACCCACCCGGGAGGCTTCAGAGGTTGAAGAGATACTGTCTGTCCTCGGGGCACTTCTACGGGACGCCTGTGTCCCACGGGAACGGGTTTCCCGGGAGGCGGGTTCAAGGTGGAGGATAGGGTGTGAGAGATGCGGGACTCGGTCCTCCTGGGAAAAGCACCCAGGATGGGAGGAGGAGGATGCAGGCACGGGCCGGGGAGAGAAAAGGGCTTCAAATAACCCTGATGACGGCTCCAGCCAGCCCCGCCGGAAGCCCCCAGAGCAGGGATGACCCTTTAAAGTTCTGTCACATGGGGGTGAGAACCTTTGCCTGGTGCCTGGACAGGTCCGGCCCCAGACGTGGTGTGGCGCTGGACACCGCCTTCTCTTCCGGTCGAGTTGCCAGAGAAACCTGGCCACAGAGGGCTGTCCCAGTCTCGCTCCTGGGGGCATCGGGCAGGGGGAATGTCAGTCTTTCTTATCCACGGAGAGATCTGAACAACTCCACGCTTGGGTCCCCCAGGCCCGGGTTCCACAGCCTGACCTCGGCATGGGGGAGGGAGCAGTCCTTGGCATTGGACGTACGTGGCGCATTTTCCCAGCACAGGGTGACCAGCCCCCCTCCCCCCAAACCACTGGTCTAGAGCAAATCAGACAAGACAAGGGCAGAGGCGGACACTGTAGGTACTCAATAAACACCAGGGAAGACGTGGTAGGTGGCGGGTGAGTGAAGGGCTGCTGAGGGCAGAGGGGAGATGGATGGATGGATGGATGGATGGATGGATGGATGGATGGATGGGTGGATGGATGGATGGGTGGATGGGTGGCTGGCTGGCTGGATGACTGGATGGATGGATAGATGGATGGGTGGGTGGATGGATGGGTGGATGGATGGGTGGATGGATGGATGGGTGGATGGGTGGCTGGCTGGCTGGATGACTGGATGGATGGATGGATGGATGGGTGGGTGGATGGATGGATGGATGGATGGATGGATGGATGGATGGATGGATGGCAGACAGATGGACACATGTACAAATAGAGGGAGAGATGAATGGATGGATGGATGGATGAATGATGGCTGGGTGGGTGGAAAGAGGGAGGAGGGAGGGAGGGAACATGGGTGAATGGGTAAACGGAGAGACGCTTCTTAACTGTGAGTGGATGATAGATGGACATGGATGAAGAGGGATGATGGATGATGGATTGAGGAACAGATGGATGAGTGGGTAAACAGAGAAGCGGATGGATGAACAATGGACAGACACGTGGATGGATGGAGGGGTGGACAGGTAAATAAGCAGATGGACAGAAGGGATGGGTCCTAGATGGCTGGCTGGCTGGACAGATGGATAGATGGGTAAACAGACGGAGAGGTGGATGGAGGGATGATGGATGAGCGGGTGGGTGGATGGACAGACGGATGGATGGGTAAGCAGGGACGGAGGTGAATGACTGTGTGATGGGCAGTGGGAAGGACATATGGACATATGTCCATAATCCGTCCACAGCTGTGGCCGAGGAGAACGGACCCTCAGCTGAGCCCTGAAGGTGGCCTCAGCTCACCGAGGGCCCAACCTGCATAAGACCAAGGACCCTGCAAGAATCAGGTTCCTGGGGATGGCCATAGGGGCATCTGGGGTCCAGAGGGGGCCTGGGTCTGGGGGGCTCCTGGTAGCAATCTTTGCAGGTTCTGACCAAAAGGCAGGTGTGTCCCTCCCTCCTCCCTCCCGCACCGTTCCCTAGATTTACTCCTGCCGCCCACCTGGGGGTCGGTAGGGACCTTTAGCCCCAACTTTCTCCCAGTGCCTTGCCTCAGGGCGCTCACCTCCCCAGCTCCCAGCTGGAGGGAGCCCCCCTGCCCCCTGGGCCCCTTCCTGGGGTGTCTGCGCCCGCCACCCCTCTTCCCCGCTTCGTTGGGGGGACGGCTGGTGACCAGGACCCCCCTCTAGGACGAGGCCCCCTCTGCAGGCTGACAGGGCAGCACCCACGGAAGGAGATGTAAGCGCAGGGAAGAATGTTACCCGCCCCCCCCCCAGCCCAGGCCGCCCATCCGGCTCCCGGGCTGGCCCATGAATTAAACATGCCCCTGTGGTTAACTCAGTAATGCTTTTATTAATAGTTAATTACTCCACGCGCACTGGGGAAATGAGACTCACTCAGGCCTCGTAAATTACGGCGGTGATCTGGAGCCCGGAGCCAATGGGGGTTCATTACCCTCCTGTCGCCGCACCTCAGGGCTTGCTATT